GGGGAAAATTTAAATCAGGACCCCCCCGATTACAGGAAAGGGGAAAATTTAAAGATCAGGGCCAACCAATTACTGAGGGAATATTTAAATCATGGGGGGGGCCATCCAGAATTTCCCGGGGGGAATATTTAAGATCAGGACCCCAAACCCGATTACTGAAGGGGGAAAATTTAAAAAATCGGACCAAACCCAAATTTCGAAGGAAATATTTAAAGATCGGACCCAAAACCCGGTTACATTTGGGGAAAAATTTTAAAATCAGGAAACCAAACCCGATTACGGGGAATATTTAAAAATCCCGGACCAACCAATTACTGAGGGGAAAATTTAAATCGGGACCTAACCAGATTACTGAGGAAAATTTAAAATCAGGGCCAAACCAAATTTCTGAGGGAATATTTAAAGGGTCCACCAACCAGGGTTACGAGGGGAAAATTTAAGATCAGGGCCAAAACCCGATTACCCGAGGGAATAATTTTAAAAATCAAGGAAACCCAACCCCCATTTCTGAGGGAATATTTAAGATTTGGGGGCCAACCAATTACTTTAGGGGAAAAATTTTAAAATCAGGACCAACCAAAATTTCTGGGGAATATTTTTAAAAAACAGGGCCAACCAAATTAAAAGAGGGGAAAATTTTAAAGGAAACGGGGCCAACCAGATTAAAAGAAAAGGAAAATTTAAGATCAGGGCCAACCAGATTTCTGAGGAAATTTGAAACCCAACTAAAACCCGATCACTGAAGGGAAATTTAAGATCAGGGCCCCAACCCGATTACTGGGGGAATTTTTTAAATCAGGACCAACCAATTACGAAGGAAAAATTTTTAAGGGTCAGACCAACCAGATTTCTGAGGGGGAAATTTTAAAATCGGAAACCAAAACCCAAATTTCTGAGGGGAAAATTTAAAAATCAGGACCAACCAATTCCCGAGGGGAAAATTTTAAAGGTCGGACCAACCCGATTAATGAGGGGAAAATTTTTAAAATCAGGACCAACCAATTTCTGAGGGAATATTTTAAGATCAGGGGCCCAAACCCGAATTTCTTGGGGGTACCCCCTTTTTTCGGGGCCCAAAACCCGAATTTTCTGGGGGGAATATTTAAAATCAGGACCAAACCCCTTTACTGAGGGAATATTTAAGATCAGGGCCAACCAAAAATTAAATGAGGGAAAAATTTTAAAATCCCGGGCCAACCAATTACTGAAGGAATATTTAAGATCAACCAAACCAATTACGAGGGAATATTTAAGAACAGGACCAACCAAATTTCTGAAAAGGGAAAATTTAAGATCGGGAAACCCAAACCCAATTTCTGAGGGAATATTTAAGATCGGGAACCCCAAACCCGATTACTGAGGGGAAAATTTTAAAATCGGGGCCCAAACCAAATTACTGAGAAGGAAAATTTTAAAATCAAGGAAACCCAACCCAAAATTACTGAGGGAATATTTAAGATCAGGACCAACCAGATTACTGAGGGAATATTTAAGATCAGGACCAACCAGATTACTGAGGGAATATTTAAGATCAGGACCAACCAGATTACTGAGGGAATATTTAAGATCAGGACCAACCAGATTACTGAGGGAATATTTAAGATCAGGACCAACCAGATTACTGAGGGAATATTTAAGATCAGGACCAACCAGATTACTGAGGGAATATTTAAATTTTAAAACCAACCAATTACTTTGGGGGAAATTTAAATCGGGGCCAACCAATTACTGAGGAATATTTAAATTTGGGGCCCAACCAATTACGGAGGGGGAAAATTTTAAAATCAGGAACCCAAACCCGAATTTCTGGGGGGAAATTTTTTGATCAGACCAACCAATACTGAGGGAAAATTTTATAACAAGGGGCCAACCAGATTACTGGGGGGGAATTTTTTTAAAAAAAGGACCAACCAGATTACTGAGGGAATATTTAAGATCAGGACCAACCAGATTACTGAAGGAATATTTAAAAATCATACCCAAACCCGATTTTGTTTAGGAATATTTAAATCCCGGGGGGCCCAAACCCAAATTTTCTGACGGGGAAAAATTTTAAAATCAGGACCAACCAATTAAACCGGGAATATTTAAGATCAGGGCCAACCAGATTCCGAGGAATAATTTTAAAATCAGGACCAACCAATTTCTGATGGGGAAAATTTAAAGATCAGGGGCCAACCCGATTACTGAGGGGGAAATTTTTTAAAAGCAAACCGACCAATTACGAAAGGGGAAAATTTTAAAATTCAGGACCAACCAAAAAAAGGGGCTGAGGGGAAAATTAAATCAGGGGCCTTAAATGGGGGGGGAAAAAAAAATGAGGGGGGAAAATTTAAGATCAGGACCCAACCAGATTCTGAGGGAATATTTAAGACAGGACCCAACCAATTATTTAGGGAATATTTAAGATCAACCAACCAATAACTGAGGGAAAATTTAAATCAGACCAACCAATTTCGAGGGGAAAATTTTGATCAGGAAAAAAAACCCAAATTGCGAGTTATTTAAGATCAGGGTCCCAAACCCGATTTTCTGAGGGGGGTATTTTAAAATCAGGGCCAACCAATTACTGAGGGGAAAATTTAAGGGTAAAAGGGCCAACCAATTACTGAGGGAATATTTTAAGATTTAGGGCCCAAACCCAAAATTTCTGAGGGAAATTTAAGATCAGGACCCAACCAGATTACAAAAGGGGAAAATTTAAAAATCAAGGGGCCAAACCCGAAATTTCTGAAGGGGGGTATTTAAGAAACAGGGCCAACCAAATACTGAGGGGAATAATTTTAAGATCAGGGCCAACCAATTACAAGGAATATTTAAGAACAGAACCCCAAACCCAATTTCTGAGGGAATATTTAAGAACAGGAAACCCAAACCCAAATTTCTGGGGAATATTTAAAAATCATTTACCAAACCGATTACCGAGGGAATAATTTTAAAATCAGGAACCCAACCCAAATTAAACCCAGGGAATATTTAAATCAGGACCAACCAGATTACCGGGGGGAATATTTTAAAATCAGGGCCGGAACCAGATTACTGAGGGAATATTTTAAAATCGGGGACCAAAACCCGATAACTGAGGGAATATTTAAAAATCAGGGCCAACCAGGGTAACTGAGGGGAAAATTTAAGATCGACCAACCAGTTTGCCGAGGGAATATTTAAGATCAGGACCAACCAGATTACCGAGGGGAAAATTTTTAAATCAAGGGCCCAAACCCGAAAAAACCGAGGGAATATTTAAGAAACAAGGGCCAAACCAGAATTTCGAAGGGGGAAAATTTTTAAAAATCCCACCCAACCAGAAAAAACTTAGGGGAAAAAATTTTAAAATTAGGACCAACCCAAAAGCGAAAAAAACCCGGGTTTAAATGGAAACAGGGGAAAATTTAAAAAACAGGACCAAAAACCGGGGAAAATTTAAAACCCCGGGAAAATAATTTAAGGGGTATTTTGACCAAAAACCAAAAAACTGAGGGGAATAATTTTAAAACAACCAACCAGATTTTTTGAGGGGAAAAATTTAAGATCAGGGCCCAACCCAATTAAATGAGGGAATATTTTAAAATCCAGGGGCCAACCCGATTTCTTAGGGAATATTTAAGATCCCGGAAACCCAAACCCAAAACTGAGGGGAAATTTTAAAATCAGGGCCAAACCCAAATTTCCCCGAGGGAAAAATTTAAAATCAGTCCAAACCCCCAAAATTAAATGAGGGAATAATTTTAAGGGTCAAAGGACCCAACCAATTTCTGAGGAAATTTTAAAGGGCAGGACCAACCCCAAATTTCTGGGGGGAATATTTAAAATCAGGACCAACCAGAAATTTCTGAAAGGGAATATTTAAGATCAGGACCAACCAGATTACTGAGGGAATATTTAAGATCAGGGGCCCCAACCCCAAATTTTTTAGGGATATTTCCCCCGTTTTTCCTTTTAAAAAGACAGAATCCCTCAATCCTCCCCTTCTGCGGGAATCCTCACTGGTCTGGAAAAAATCAAACACGGGTTCTGTGGGGTACAAATCGCTGCAAATTGCTGGCCCGCTGGGAGCTGCTAGGGATCGCTGGGTTTTCTGCTTTCTGGGAAAAGGGGTTGGGGGCTAGGGGATCGTAGGGAAGCTTGGGTGCGCTACGGGGCGCTTCTAGCTGCCCGCTGCTTTGCGGGTTTGCTGCTAAATTCTGGCCCGCTAGCTTCGCTGCAAATTGGGCCCGCTAGCGGGGGGGGGGGGGCCGGGTGGGCCCACAGGCCCCTGCAAGCTTCTGGGGTGCTAGGGGGGTTTGCTGCTAGGGGCCCCCTGGCCCCAGCGGTTTGCCTGCTAATTGGGTGGGTGCTAGCGGTTTGCTGGGTACCCCTCGCTGGGTAGCCTGCTGGGTAGCATTTCCGCCCTAAACTGTTTTCGCTAGGGGGGGTTTTCGCAGCACTGACGGGGACGGGGGGGTAAACACAGTGCTGGGAAATGAGCTAATGTGTAGCATATGAGGCTAATGGCTGCTAGCTGCTGCTCAGCTGACAGCCTGGCAGGATGGAAACACAGCTGCTCCCCACACCTACAGCAGAACATTCAGGGAACAGAGGAAATCTAGTTTGGTTTTCTATGCTATGATGAGAGGAACCCAGCGGCTCTCTGAAGGTTCCCCCCCCCCCCCCCCCCCCCCACACACACACACACACACACAGGGCAGAGCAGGGAAGAGATGCAGCTACAAAGATGCAAACACCAAACATGACAACAACAAAATGGCCGACTGCAGACGGGGTTTGATGCTGTGGAGTCATAACAGGGTGATAGCAGGGGGGGTGCGTGGGCACACAGCAGAGGGAGGAGATTAAACACTTTCATTCAGAGTTGGAGTCTTATCTCGCTTTCAGGCTTTCTTTGAGAGCTCGATAGGAGCTTCCAGGCTGCAAGATGTCGCTGTGTAGTCTGGCTCTGATTGAAGCAGCCTACACCATCACACCCCCCCACAGATGGAGGACATCGATAGCAGCTGTACGTGGAGCCGCCTGACGGCGGCCGCAGAAGGCGGCTGACGATGGCCCCTCCTGTACGGCCGGTAAAGGAGGAGAGGCCATCAGGACTGGAAGCTCTGTTGAGCGCAGGCTGAGTGAGAGAGCGAGCGTGGCGTCCCGTCACCTCAGGGAAGGCAGAGATAAGACGAGCGTATGGGCTGAGATAAGATGGGAGCAAAAACAGACTGGAAGTGAGTCACTGCAAGGAGGCCTGCAGCCTCACAGCCAAACCGTCCGTCAGAGGCCTCGTCTCTGACAGGTCGGAGCGCAGCGGCGTTCCCTGAAGCACACATCAGGTCCTCATTGTCCGTTAGAAAGAACAAACATCCTTTAGCTCCTCCAGACAACATGCAGGAGATGGCCTTCAACCTGTAGCTTTCTAACGGGTCTGCTGGTGGAGCAAAGCCAACATGGAGGATGGAGCTTCACAGAGACACTGGAAGCTGTTCCTTCCTGCTGAATGTCAGCCGTGACCTGCTGACATCATCTGGATCGATCCGTCTGACCGATCCAGATCAGTGGATCTGTCTCACTGCATCAGCTGGACCTGAAGTTCACACAGAGCGTTTGGTTTGCAGCTGCAGTCCATCCAGATCCTGCTACCTCAGGCTCCCCCGGCACACCTGTCTGATTTCTCCAGTGTCTGCCTGACGTCCCAGAATCTCCTAAACTCTGGCAGACGCTGAACTTTCTATGGATTCTTTCTATTCTGGGCGTAAACATTAGAGACTGACATTTTTTCGGGAATCCCATGGGTCACGGGATTCCCGTGGGATTCCCGTGGGATGGGAGTCAGTATTAGTAACGATCACGGGATTGGGACGGTACAGGATTAAACATTAACGGGAGCAGACGGGAGCGGGAGCAAACCAATAGTAACTTCCGCTCTGAGTTTTTCACCCGCGCTCAAAAACAACAAGAATGGGAGTGGAGCAGGAGCGGGAGTCATTCTGAATGGGAGCGGGATGGGAGTGGGAGTAATTTCACCAGGAGTGGGACGGGACAGGTTTTAGATTTCTACTCTGGCCCGGAATCGGGACGGGACACCATTTTTTTCTGTGGGAGTGGGACGGGACAGGAGTGAAAATCCACTCCCGTGTCAGTCTCTAGTAAACATGGAGGATTCATAACCAGTCCAGAACTTCTGTCCAATGACATCCTAACTTCTGCATAACGCACGGCAGCGTAATGCCCAGGAAATGATGCACAGTGTCCTGAGGGGGGTATTAACCTAGCTGCTGTTTACCGCCTGCCAGAAACGCAGGGAGGATCCATCACTCACCTTCTGGCTCACCCTATGATGGGGATGAAGTCTGGAGGAGAACTGACGGTTTCCTCCTGTGAACCCCCTTTATACCAAAACGCTGCCAATACGCCATTATACAGTAGCTGGAAGTTAGAAACACGTTCAGCGCTCGTCTGGAACACGGGCAGATACGCTGATATGCTGGAGAGAAGTTCTGGATAAGTTACGCAGAAGTTTAGGATCAGCTGGACGCCACGACTGATGAGGAACTGACACTGAACGGATGTCAACCATCAGATAACTGACCTGGAACTGATGGACCACTGATGGCAGACGCCGGCGTACGGCGGGAATCATATGGCGACGTGTTTCAGCGTACCTAAACGTATCCAACGTATGTCAGCGTTTTTACCAGATTATCAGTAGGTCAGACATACGCTGGTCTAAATGGTCATGCTGTGACAGCGTTCAGACAGCATGAATGATTCCGTTTCAAACCTGCTGATAAAGTTTAATTTCCAGGAGTGAAGCAGGAATCTTACTTTTTTCTCTCAACCTGAACTAAAAGTCTGGGATTCTGATTGAATTTCATTCCTCACATCTTTCTACATGTTTCTGCTGCTGAGATCCATCCATGGACTTTATTCCAACATCTCCAGAGTTCTGAGCTCCATGCCGCCCTGCACTCTCTGAAATGCTAATAAACTGGTTCCCCATATTAATGGAGTGCCAGCAGCGTCTGTTAGCATGTGCTAAACATGGCGGCTGGAAGCTGGAGACCAGCTGCAGCCTCTGGAAATGAATGAAGATCCAAACATCAGCAGAGATTCTTAATTGAATCCAATTAGTGAGCCTGTGAGGGGGGGGCTGAAGGTATGCCACACACGAGGGGTGAGACAGGAGTGATGCATGGAGTGATAAGAGACGGCGCCGTGGCAGGACAACACAGAAGAGTCCCTTCACACGGTAAAGGCGATAAGCATCACCTCCATCCCTCAGCCTGCCTCCGTCACTGACAGAAAACACTGATATGATTCTGAGGACGAACTGAGGCCCATGGAGGAGCAACAATGGAGGAGGAGGAACAGCTGGGAGGTGAAGGTGTGATTCTCTCACCTCCAGCCGGCCTCCGGTCACAGAAAACAGCAGCAAACCCAGCAGAGCTGCGAGGAGCAGCAGCGCCGGGCGCTATCTGATGGCAAACTATTTGGGACACGCCCATTTGTGACACGCGCTCTCAGTGTTTTTGACACCTGAGCGAAGAAAGCAGCAGCAGCTTGGTGTGGTTATCAGATCAGATCAGAGGAGATAAATCCACAGACGCTCCGCTATCGCTGCGACACGCCAGCAACAGGTCACGGTGTCACGCAATAGGTGACCACGCCTCCGCCTGCAGCGCCTCCGCCTGCAGCGCCTCCTCATGCCGACCTCACACCAGGAAGTTTGACACTAGAATCACGTTCTGGTCGGATTAAAATCAGGTTTTATTTAGATTTTACTTTCAGGTAAACTAAAGAGTTAAAGTCCTGAAAAAAAAAAAAACGATTCTAAGCAAAAGAAGAAAATTCGGGATAAGGTGGGGGGTGGGGTGGGTGTGGTTGGGTTTAGGGGGTGTGGGGTCAGGTGGAGGGTGGGGTGTGAGGTGAGGTGGGGGGTCAGGTGGGGTGAGGTGGGGTGGGGTGAGGTGGGGTGGGGTGAGGTGGGGTGTGGGGTGTTTGGAACATAACATCTAAGATAAACTAATCAGGTTTTAGCTCCTTCACCATCAGAGGTCATCAGCTGGTCTGGATCCTCAGGAGGACCTTAGAGATGGTCTGAATGACTGGAGGAGGTCAGAGGAGGGAGAACAGCTTCTGATCACAGTTTTCTATGTTTTCTATCTGCTCATTTCTCTCCTTTCATCCGTGAGCTTTTTTCCACCTGAGAAGGATAGTTGTGGAGGAGCTCTTCCCTTAGCCAGCTGTGTTAGCATTCCCAGAAGGAGCTATGCTAATTAGCATTAGCTCATTCAGGGAAGGAGCAGACCAACCTGAGGTGGACTTCAGCAGAGATGGTGGTTCTGCTCCATGTCTAGATGCTGAATTCAGAGATACTTAGAGCTGGATGTTTATTCTTTGCCAGAGACGAATGCTAACAATGATTAAAACCACCTCAGATGATGATAAAAGACGTCGCCTCTCCTGCTGAACTGAGGAGAATCCAGAAAGCTGCAGATAGAGAACATAGAGCTGCTGGATCAGCTGCAGATAGAGAACATAGAGCTGCTGGGATCAGCTGCAGATAGAGAACATAGAGCTGCTGGATCAGCTGCAGATAGAGAACATAGAGCTGCTGGATCAGCTGCAGATAGAGAACATAGAGCTGCTGGGATCAGCTGCAGATAGAGAACATAGAGCTGCTGGGATCAGCTGCAGATAGAGAACATAGAGCTGCTGGGATCAGCTGCAGATAGAGAACATAGAGCTGCTGGGATCAGCTGCATCTGATCATAAACCCAGCAGATGGTTTAGTCAAACCGGCTTATCAAAGCCGACATCAGTCCATCTTCTGCATATAGAAATTAAATCAGTGATCTATAAGAAACCAACCATAGAGGGAGACTGAAGGCATGAATATCTGGTTTCCTTAGATCTGCGTTAAGGAATCTGTAGATGTAACTTCCTGCAGTTCCACCAGTCAGACATGAGCTAACGATGGAGTTCTGTTCAGATCAGGAAACAATCAGCTCTTTGACCAATAAGCACGGCGAGGGCAGCATGGTGCTGTGGGTAAGACTTTCTTTGGCTTCAACCACAGAGGAATAATTCATATCAGCTTAGAAAGGAAGGAGCAGACAGAGGCAGCGTTCCTGCTGCCCTTCATCACCAAGGGCTCTGATTGGCTCACAGGAAACAAACACGCCATCATCACCACTGGCAGCGTGACGCAACAGGAAGGAGAGCAGAGCAGAAAGCCTCCAATCAGAGGTGGAGCAACAGGTGTCCTACCTGAGCCGGCATCCAGGACGCTGCTTTGTCCCCTGCGATCGGCCACCAGGCGGGAAGAACCGGGCATGCTGACTGGTTCTGATCGCACCGGCTGGATCCTGCAGACGGAGATCAGAGACGCGTTCAGTCCTCACAGCTACTGAGCGTCTCCACGCCGTCGATCAGAGGCGCGTTCAGTCCTAACAGCTACTGAGCGTCTCCACGCCGTCGATCAGAGGCGCGTTCAGTCCTAACAGCTACTGAGCGTCTCCACGCCGTCGATCAGAGGCGCGTTCAGTCCTCACAGCTACTGAGCGTCTCCACGCCGTCGATCAGAGGCGCGTTCAGTCCTCACAGCTACTGAGCGTCTCCACGCCGTCGATCAGAGGCGCGTTCAGTCCTCACAGCTACTGAGCGTCTCCACGCCGTCGATCAGAGGCGCGTTCAGTCCTAACAGCTACTGAGCGTCTCCACGCCGTCGATCAGAGACGCGTTCAGTCCTCACAGCTACTGAGCGTCTCCACGCCGTCGATCAGAGACGCGTTCAGTCCTCACAGCTACTGAGCGTCTCCACGCCGTCGATCAGAGACGCGTTCAGTCCTAACAGCTACTGAGCGTCTCCACGCCGTCGATCAGAGGCGCGTTCAGTCCTAACAGCTACTGAGCGTCTCCACGCCGTCGATCAGAGACGCGTTCAGTCCTAACAGCTACTGAGCGTCTCCACGCCGTCGATCAGAGACGCGTTCAGTCCTAACAGCTACTGAGCGTCTCCACGCCGTCGATCAGAGACGCGTTCAGTCCTAACAGCTACTGAGCGTCTCCACGCCGTCGATCAGAGACGCGTTCAGTCCTAACAGCTACTGAGCGTCTCCACGCCGTCGATCAGAGACGCGTTCAGTCCTCACAGCTACTGAGCGTCTCCACGCCGTCGATCAGAGACGCGTTCAGTCCTAACAGCTACTGAGCGTCTCCACGCCGTCGATCAGAGACGCGTTCAGTCCTAACAGCTACTGAGCGTCTCCACGCCGTCGATCAGAGACGCGTTCAGTCCTAACAGCTACTGAGCGTCTCCACGCCGTCGATCAGAGACGCGTTCAGTCCCTCACAGCTACTGAGCGTCTCCACGCCGTCGATCAGAGACGCGTTCAGTCCTAACAGCTACTGAGCGTCTCCACGCCGTCGATCAGAGACGCGTTCAGTCCTCACAGCTACTGAGCGTCTCCACGCCGTCGATCAGAGGCGCGTTCAGTCCTAACAGCTACTGAGCGTCTCCACGCCGTCGATCAGAGACGCGTTCAGTCCTCGCAGCTACTGAGCGTCTCCACGCCGTCGATCAGAGACGCGTTCAGTCCTCACAGCTACTGAGCGTCTCCACGCCGTCGATCAGAGACGCGTTCAGTCCTAACAGCTACTGAGCGTCTCCACGCCGTCGATCAGAGACGCGTTCAGTCCTCATTGCTACTGAGCGTCTCCACGCCGTCGATCAGAGACGCGTTCAGTCCTCGCAGCTACTGAGCGTCTCCACGCCGTCGATCAGAGACGCGTTCAGTCCTCACAGCTACTGAGCGTCTCCACGCCGTCGATCAGAGGCGCGTTCAGTCCTAACAGCTACTGAGCGTCTCCACGCCGTCGATCAGAGACGCGTTCAGTCCTCGCAGCTACTGAGCGTCTCCACGCCGTCGATCAGAGGCGCGTTCAGTCCTAACAGCTACTGAGCGTCTCCACGCCGTCGATCAGAGACGCGTTCAGTCCTCGCAGCTACTGAGCGTCTCCACGCCGTCGATCAGAGACGCGTTCAGTCCTCACAGCTACTGAGCGTCTCCACGCCGTCGATCAGAGACGCGTTCAGTCCTAACAGCTACTGAGCGTCTCCACGCCGTCGATCAGAGACGCGTTCAGTCCTCATTGCTACTGAGCGTCTCCACGCCGTCGATCAGAGACGCGTTCAGTCCTCGCAGCTACTGAGCGTCTCCACGCCGTCGATCAGAGACGCGTTCAGTCCTCACAGCTACTGAGCGTCTCCACGCCGTCGATCAGAGGCGCGTTCAGTCCTAACAGCTACTGAGCGTCTCCACGCCGTCGATCAGAGACGCGTTCAGTCCTCGCAGCTACTGAGCGTCTCCACGCCGTCGATCAGAGACGCGTTCAGTCCTAACAGCTACTGAGCGTCTCCACGCCGTCGATCAGAGGCGCGTTCAGTCCTAACAGCTACTGAGCGTCTCCACGCCGTCGATCAGAGACGCGTTCAGTCCTCACAGCTACTGAGCGTCTCCACGCCGTCGATCAGAGACGCGTTCAGTCCTCGCAGCTACTGAGCGTCTCCACGCCGTCGATCAGAGACGCGTTCAGTCCTCACAGCTACTGAGCGTCTCCACGCCGTCGATCAGAGGCGCGTTCAGTCCTCACAGCTACTGAGCGTCTCCACGCCGTCGATCAGAGGCGCGTTCAGTCCTCGCAGCTACTGAGCGTCTCCACGCCGTCGATCAGAGACGCGTTCAGTCCTCACAGCTACTGAGCGTCTCCACGCCGTCGATCAGAGACGCGTTCAGTCCTCGCAGCTACTGAGCGTCTCCACGCCGTCGATCAGAGACGCGTTCAGTCCTCGCAGCTACTGAGCGTCTCCACGCCGTCGATCAGAGACGCGTTCAGTCCTCACAGCTACTGAGCGTCTCCACGCCGTCGATCAGAGACGCGTTCAGTCCTCGCAGCTACTGAGCGTCTCAACGCCGTCGATCAGAGACGCGTTCAGTCCTCACAGCTACTGAGCGTCTCCACGCCGTCGATCAGAGACGCGTTCAGTCCTCACAGCTACTGAGCGTCTCCACGCCGTCGATCAGAGACGCGTTCAGTCCTCACAGCTACTGAGCGTCTCCACGCCGTCGATCAGAGACGCGTTCAGTCCTAACAGCTACTGAGCGTCTCCACGCCGTCGATCAGAGACGCGTTCAGTCCTCACAGCTACTGAGCGTCTCCACGCCGTCGATCAGAGACGCGTTCAGTCCTCACAGCTACTGAGCGTCTCCACGCCGTCGATCAGAGGACGCGTTCAGTCCTCGCAGCTACTGAGCGTCTCCACGCCGTCGATCAGAGACGCGTTCAGTCCTCACAGCTACTGAGCGTCTCCACGCCGTCGATCAGAGGACGCGTTCAGTCCTCACAGCTACTGAGCGTCTCCACGCCGTCGATCAGAGACGCGTTCAGTCCTCACAGCTACTGAGCGTCTCCACGCCGTCGATCAGAGGCGCGTTCAGTCCTCGCAGCTACTGAGCGTCTCCACGCCGTCGATCAGAGACGCGTTCAGTCCTCGCAGCTACTGAGCGTCTCCACGCCGTCGATCAGAGGCGCGTTCAGTCCTAACAGCTACTGAGCGTCTCCACGCCGTCGATCAGAGACGCGTTCAGTCCTCACAGCTACTGAGCGTCTCCACGCCGTCGATCAGAGACGCGTTCAGTCCTCACAGCTACTGAGCGTCTCCACGCCGTCGATCAGAGACGCGTTCAGTCCTAACAGCTACTGAGCGTCTCCACGCCGTCGATCAGAGACGCGTTCAGTCCTCGCAGCTACTGAGCGTCTCCACGCCGTCGATCAGAGACGCGTTCAGTCCTCGCAGCTACTGAGCGTCTCCACGCCGTCGATCAGAGACGCGTTCAGTCCTAACAGCTACTGAGCGTCTCCACGCCGTCGATCAGAGACGCGTTCAGTCCTCACAGCTACTGAGCGTCTCCACGCCGTCGATCAGAGACGCGTTCAGTCCTAACAGCTACTGAGCGTCTCCACGCCGTCGATCAGAGACGCGTTCAGTCCTCGCAGCTACTGAGCGTCTCCACGCCGTCGATCAGAGACGCGTTCAGTCCTCGCAGCTACTGAGCGTCTCCACGCCGTCGATCAGAGACGCGTTCAGTCCTCGCAGCTACTGAGCGTCTCAACGCCGTCGATCAGAGACGCGTTCAGTCCTCACAGCTACTGAGCGTCTCCACGCCGTCGATCAGAGACGCGTTCAGTCCTCACAGCTACTGAGCGTCTCCACGCCGTCGATCAGAGACGCGTTCAGTCCTCACAGCTACTGAGCGTCTCCACGCCGTCGATCAGAGGCGCGTTCAGTCCTAACAGCTACTGAGCGTCTCCACGCCGTCGATCAGAGACGCGTTCAGTCCTCACAGCTACTGAGCGTCTCCACGCCGTCGATCAGAGACGCGTTCAGTCCTCACAGCTACTGAGCGTCTCCACGCCGTCGATCAGAGGCGCGTTCAGTCCTCGCAGCTACTGAGCGTCTCCACGCCGTCGATCAGAGACGCGTTCAGTCCTCGCAGCTACTGAGCGTCTCCACGCCGTCGATCAGAGGCGCGTTCAGTCCTAACAGCTACTGAGCGTCTCCACGCCGTCGATCAGAGACGCGTTCAGTCCTCACAGCTACTGAGCGTCTCCACGCCGTCGATCAGAGGCGCGTTCAGTCCTAACAGCTACTGAGCGTCTCCACGCCGTCGATCAGAGACGCGTTCAGTCCTCACAGCTACTGAGCGTCTCCACGCCGTCGATCAGAGGCGCGTTCAGTCCTCGCAGCTACTGAGCGTCTCCACGCCGTCGATCAGAGACGCGTTCAGTCCTCGCAGCTACTGAGCGTCTCCACGCCGTCGATCAGAGGCGCGTTCAGTCCTAACAGCTACTGAGCGTCTCCACGCCGTCGATCAGAGACGCGTTCAGTCCTCACAGCTACTGAGCGTCTCCACGCCGTCGATCAGAGCGCGTTCAGGTCCTAACAGCTACTGAGCGTCTCCACGCCGTCGATCAGAGACGCGTTCAGTCCTCACAGCTACTGAGCGTCTCCACGCCGTCGATCAGAGACGCGTTCAGTCCTAACAGCTACTGAGCGTCTCCACGCCGTCGATCAGAGACGCGTTCAGTCCTCACAGCTACTGAGCGTCTCCACGCCGTCGATCAGAGGCGCGTTCAGTCCTCACAGCTACTGAGCGTCTCCACGCCGTCGATCAGAGACGCGTTCAGTCCTCGCAGCTACTGAGCGTCTCCACGCCGTCGATCAGAGGCGCGTTCAGTCCTCACAGCTACTGAGCGTCTCCACGCCGTCGATCAGAGGCGCGTTCAGTCCTCGCAGCTACTGAGCGTCTCCACGCCGTCGATCAGAGACGCGTTCAGTCCTCGCAGCTACTGAGCGTCTCCACGCCGTCGATCAGAGGCGCGTTCAGTCCTCACAGCTACTGAGCGTCTCCACGCCGTCGATCAGAGACGCGTTCAGTCCTCGCAGCTACTGAGCGTCTCCACGCCGTCGATCAGAGGCGCGTTCAGTCCTAACAGCTTCTGAGCGTCTCCACGCCGTCGATCAGAGGCGCGTTCAGTCCTAACAGCTACTGAGCGTCTCCACGCCGTCGATCAGAGACGCGTTCAGTCCTAACAGCTACTGAGCGTCTCCACGCCGTCGATCAGAGGCGCGTTCAGTCCTAACAGCTACTGAGCGTCTCCACGCCGTCGATCAGAGACGCGTTCAGTCCTCGCAGCTACTGAGCGTCTCCACGCCGTCGATCAGAGGCGCGTTCAGTCCTCACAGCTACTGAGCGTCTCCACGCCGTCGATCAGAGGCGCGTTCAGTCCTCGCAGCTACTGAGCGTCTCCACGCCGTCGATCAGAGGCGCGTTCAGTCCTAACAGCTACTGAGCGTCTCCACGCCGTCGATCAGAGACGCGTTCAGTCCTAACAGCTACTGAGCGTCTCCACGCCGTCGATCAGAGACGCGTTCAGTCCTCGCAGCTACTGAGCGTCTCCACGCCGTCGATCAGAGGCGCGTTCAGTCCTAACAGCTACTGAGCGTCTCCACGCCGTCGATCAGAGGCGCGTTCAGTCCTAACAGCTACTGAGCGTCTCCACGCCGTCGATCAGAGACGCGTTCAGTCCTCGCAGCTACTGAGCGTCTCCACGCCGTCGATCAGAGGCGCGTTCAGTCCTAACAGCTACTGAGCGTCTCCACGCCGTCGATCAGAGACGCGTTCAGTCCTCGCAGCTACTGAGCGTCTCCACGCCGTCGATCAGAGGCGCGTTCAGTCCTAACAGCTACTGAGCGTCTCCACGCCGTCGATCAGAGACGCGTTCAGTCCTAACAGCTACTGAGCGTCTCCACGCCGTCGATCAGAGGCGCGTTCAGTCCTAACAGCTACTGAGCGTCTCCACGCCGTCGATCAGAGACGCGTTCAGTCCTCGCAGCTACTGAGCGTCTCCACGCCGCCGATCAGAGGCGCGTTCAGTCCTCACAGCTACTGAGCGTCTCCACGCCGTCGATCAGAGACGCGTTCAGTCCTCACAGCTACTGAGCGTCTCCACGCCGTCGATCAGAGACGTGTTCAGTCCTCACAGCTACTGAGCGTCTCCACGCCGTCGATCAGAGGCGCGTTCAGTCCTAACAGCTACTGAGCGTCTCCACGCCGTCGATCAGAGACGCGTTCAGTCCTAACAGCTACTGAGCGTCTCCACGCCGTCGATCAGAGGCGCGTTCAGTCCTAACAGCTACTGAGCGTCTCCACGCCGTCGATCAGAGACGCGTTCAGTCCTAACAGCTACTGAGCGTCTCCACGCCGTCGATCAGAGGCGCGTTCAGTCCTAACAGCTACTGAGCGTCTCCACGCCGTCGATCAGAGACGCGTTCAGTCCTCGCAGCTACTGAGCGTCTCCACGCCGCCGATCAGAGGCGCGTTCAGTCCTCACAGCTACTGAGCGTCTCCACGCCGTCGATCAGAGACGCGTTCAGTCCTCACAGCTACTGAGCGTCTCCACGCCGTCGATCAGAGACGCGTTCAGTCCTCACAGCTACTGAGCGTCTCCACGCCGTCGATCAGAGGCGCGTTCAGTCCTCACAGCTACTGAGCGTCTCCACGCCGTCGATCAGAGACGTGTTCAGTCCTCACAGCTACTGAGCGTCTCCACGCCGTCGATCAGAGGCGCGTTCAGTACTCAACATACTGTACTGTCCAACATATTTAGGATTCTGCAAAGTTTTACTTTTCTACCTGAAGTGAAATATGGTGCTTTATTGATCCTGTTTTTAATCAATAGATCATTTTCTGTCGATCAGTGAAGATTTCTTCTTCTCTGGAACCAGATGTTTTTATAAAGAATGAAAACAACAAAAACGCTGACTGTCTCCATTTTAGGATTTTATAAACATCCTACGTTTTATTTCATAGAAGTTGATTTATCTATAATTAATCTGTGCTTGATATCAATTGATCGTTTATCTTCTGCTCACCTACATTTCTAACTTTACTGCTCTGCTTCTATCAGCAGTCATCATATCTATCTGCTATTTCTAGGCTTTAAAATCCTGCATGTTAGGTTCAGGAAACTATTAAACTTAGCTATTATTTTTAGTTGTCAGTTGCAGATGTTAGTTTTTCAGTTGCAGATTGACATAAAGGCCAGTCTGACCAGTCTGACCAGTCTGAGCAGCAGCCCTGGGTTACTGGGCAGCACTAACCTCACTGACCACCTGCTGGTTCAGCTGCTCCAACCTGAACTCCTCCTACTTTAAACAGAGATTAATTAGAACTTAATCTGAGATTTCTAAAACTTTGATAAAAACATCTGAAGATGTAAACCGGTCACAGCTGGACAGGAACCGTCCTCAGATTCCTCCTGATGCTGTAAAGATTTCAACCTAAAGAGGCATTTCGCCTGATCCGGTTGGAACCGGTTGTGAGGATGACATCACCCTCCTGTCAGGGTTTACGTACCTAAGACTGCGGAGGTCCAGGTCATCGGTGTCAAAGTCCAGGAGGGGCTGCTGGACATCGGAGGGCCCGTGGGACTGAAGCACCGAGGATGAGGAGGAGATGACGGTGGTCTGCCCCGACGGGTGGATGGTCTTAAACTGGAACTGGGGGCCCATCCACAGGCGGCGGTGGGGGCCGGTGTGGGTCACAATCTCCACCTGAGGACAGGAGAGCTAAGGGTCATCAGATGTTCATCCAGAAGCTCTGAACTTGAGATGTCAGGTATCCTCCTCACTACCAGGAACAAAAACAGCATTAGATGCTTAAAATTAGGTCAATCATAGTGAAACGTTCAACATTAACATTTTATCTATGACACTTTTTACATCTACAGAAAATGTCCAAGTTATGCAAAGAATCTTAAGTTATGGTGGAAAAAGCAGCGAGAACCTAAAGAGGACAGAGGGAGGATGCTGATTGGCTGAGAAGATAAAACCTGAAGTGGATGACTGGACCACGGAGCCTCTGAAGTTCTGGTTCTGACCTGCAGGCTCCTAAAGCCAGTCAGCTGTGAACTGAGAGGAGCTTTAGGAATCGACTCCACTTCCTGGATCACTAAAACTATCATTGACTTCCATTCATAATGCATTTATTTCTATGGTCTGACCCTAAAATAAGCTGAACTCAGTTCTCATCTGTCATGTTCTATTTCAACCTGTGGATAAAAAACTAAAGACAAAAGTAAAACGGATAAAAAGAGTCTGCTAAATGCATAAACATCAAATGATTTTCAATCTGTGAAACCAACATAAAATAAAATCATAATTAAAGAATAGCAGAGCTGTTTCAGCGAGCGATTGGTCAGAGGTGGGCGGAGCCTGGTGTTAAAGTTAAAATGGAAGCTAAACTAGTCAGCTGCACTCTTTATCCACATTAGGCTCCAGACTGACTTCAGGCTCAGAGGAAGGAGGACTGAGAGGGTCTCTGGTCTTCAGCCAATCAGATGAAAAAAGATGGAAGCTCTCAGGATGGTATCTATCATCACACTCAGCTCCAATCCAACTTCTTTACCTTCCATGATGGCGGCCTCATTTAGGAGAACTTCCAGGTTTACGATCCATCAGCTTCAGCTACCAGCTGCTCCTTCCTAGGTGGATGCTGACCCCTGCAGCAGGTTCAGCTCTAAAGCCGGGCGTACACTGTGCCATTTTCTTCAATCCTTGCACGCATCTGCTGCACACACTGTACGACTAATCGCAGGGTTTAGTCGTACACTGTGCACTCACAGCTCACGATTTATGTTCGGCCCGATGATGCGATCTATCTGCTCAGACTGTAAGACTAAAAACCATGTCAGAGTCCTTCGCAGTGAGATGGAGCTGCTCTCTAGCTCTCTATCCTGAAGCCAAACAAATAGAAGAGGAATATGAAGCTCACTATAGTGAACCCGCTGCCTTGGCTATTTGTGCAATTTTGTGCTGAGGGTCCTAGAAAGAAAAGGTGACGACGTATTTGGAAAAGGAACATGGCTGAGCAGGCGTGGCTGCTACGGTCTGTCAATTTTGCAGACAGAGCTGCATTTCACTCACTGCATCATTGCTATGCTGCTGTGTTAACATCTGAGAGGAGGAATGAAAAGAAGAATCCTTCTTCGCGCCCTGAGCGATTTGCCCACGACAGTCGGGAGAAAATCAAACATGTTTGATATTCTCCCGACCTCCCAATTCCTGATCAGGAGGCGGTCATGAGAGGCTGATCACCATTCCTTACCCCCTGAACACTACACGACGCACGACCAGGCTGAAAGTCGGGCCGATCGAAAGATTCTCGAAAGACTGGAAAATCGCCCCAAAAAAATCGCGCAGTGTATGCCGGGCTGGAGCCCCGCCTGGTAAAACTCCTTGATTCATTCAAGCTCTCCTGACTCCACCAATGAAAAGCTGCCACAATGCCAGATAACCAGCGGCCATCTTTTCACCTGTAAATGGTCATAATGTAATGCCTGATGCAGGTTCTCTGAGGTGATAAAGGTCCACTAAGTTACCTGGATCGACTAAAGTTCAATTCTATTTGGTTTATTTCTATAGCACCAACACACAACACATGTCATCTCAAGGCACAGTTCACCAGATCATCCAGTCAGATTGATGAAACTGGATAAAACTGGTCCAGTTTTATCCAACGGGTCCAGTTTGGACCAGTGGGTCCAGTTTTATCCAACGGGTCCAGTTTGGACCAGTGGGTCCAGTTTCATCCAACTGGTCCAGTTTTAATCAACTGGTCCAGTTTTAGCCAGTGGGTCCAGTTTTACCCAGTGGGTCCAGTTTCATCCAACTGGTCCAGTTTTAATCAACTGGTCCAGTTTTAGCCAGTGGGTCTGGTTTTATCCAACTAGTCCAGTTTTGGCGAGTAGGTTCAGTTTTATCCAACTGATCCAATTTTATCCAACTTGTCAAGTTTTATCCAACTGGTCCAGTTTTAGCCAGTGGGTCCAGTTTTAGCCAGTGGGTCCAGTTTTAGCCAACTGGTCCAGTTTTGGCCAGTGGGTCCAGTTTTATCCAACTGGTCCAGTTTTATCCAACTGGTCCAGTTTTGGCCAGTGGGTCCAGTTTTATCCAACTGGTCCAGTTTTGGCCAGTGGGTCCAGTTTTATCCAACTAGTCCAGTTTTGGCGAGTGGGTTCAGTTTTATCCAACTGATCCAATTTTATCCAACTTGTCCAGTTTTAGCCAGTGGGTCCAGTTTTAGCCAGTGGGTCCAGTTTTATCCAACTGGTCCAGTTTTAGCCAGTGGGTCCAGTTTTAGCCAACTGGTCCAGTTTTATCCAACTGGTCCAGTTTTAGCCAGTGGGTCCAGTTTTAGCCAGTGGGTCCAGTTTTATCCAACTGGTCCAGTTTTAGCCAGTGGGTCCAGTTTTAGCCAACTGGTCCAGTTTTATCCAACTGGTCCAGTTTTATCCAACTGGTCCAGTTTTGGCCAGTGGGTCCAGTTTTATCCAACTGGTCCAGTTTTATCCAACTGATCCAGTTTTATCCAACTGGTCCAGTTTTATCCAACTGATCCAGTTTTATCCAACTGGTCCAGTTTTAATCAACTGGTCCAGTTTTAGCCAACTGATCCAGTTTTATCCAACTGGTCCAGTTTTATCCAACTGATCCAGTTTTATCCAACTGGTCCAGTTTTATCCAACTGATCCAGTTTTATCCAACTGGTCCAGTTTTATCCAACTGGTCCAGTTTTAATCAACTGGTCCAGTTTTAGCCAACTGATCCAGTTTTATCCAACTGGTCCATTTTTATCCAACTGATCCAGTTTTATCCAACTGGTCCAGTTTTATCCAACTGATCCAGTTTTAATCAACTGGTCCAGTTTTAGCCAGTGGGTCTAATTTTAGCCAACTGGTCCAGTTTTAGCCAGTGGGTCCGGTTTTGGCCAGTGGGTCCAGTTTTAGCCAGTGGGTCCGGTTTTAGCCAACTGGTCCGGTTTTGGCCAGTGGGTCCAGTTTTATCCAACTGGTCCAATTTTAGCCAGTGGGTCCAGTTTTATCCAACTGGTCCAATTTTAGCCAGTGGGTCCAGTTTTATCCAACTGGTCCAGTTTTATCCAACTGGTCCAGTTTTAGCCAGTGGGTCCAGTTTTAGCCAGTGGGTCCAGTTTTATCCAACTGGTCCAGTTTTAGCCAGTGGGTCCAGTTTTGGCCAGTGGGTCCAGTTTTATCCAGCTGGTCCAGTTTTAGCCAGTGGGTCCAGTTTTATCCAACTGGTCCAGTTTTAGCCAGTGGGTCCAGTTTTATCCAACTGGTCCAGTTTTAATCAACTGGTCCAGTTTTAGCCAACTGATCCAGTTTTATCCAACTGGTCCAGTTTTATCCAACTGATCCAGTTTTATCCAACTGGTCCAGCTTTATCCAACTGATCCAGTTTTATCCAACTGGTCCAGTTTTAATCAACTGGTCCAGTTTTAGCCAACTGATCCAGTTTTATCCAACTGCTCAGTTTTATCCAACTGATCCAGTTTTAATCAACTGGTCCAGTTTTAGCCAGTGGGTCTAATTTTAGCCAACTGGTCCAGTTTTAGCCAGTGGGTCCGGTTTTGGCCAGTGGGTCCAGTTTTAGCCAGTGGGTCCGGTTTTAGCCAACTGGTCCGGTTTTGGCCAGTGGGTCCAGTTTTATCCAACTGGTCCAATTTTAGCCAGTGGGTCCAGTTTTATCCAACTGGTCCAATTTTAGCCAGTGGGTCCAGTTTTATCCAACTGGTCCAGTTTTATCCAACTGGTCCAGTTTTAGCCAGTGGGTCTAGTTTTAGCCAGTGGGTCCAGTTTTAGCCAGTGGGTCCAGTTTTATCCAACTGGTCCAGTTTTAGCCAGTGGGTCCAGTTTTGGCCAGTGGGTCCAGTTTTATCCAGCTGGTCCAGTTTTAGCCAGTGGGTCTAGTTATATCCAACTGGTCCAGTTTTAGCCAGTGGATGCGGTTTTAGCCAACTGGTCCAGTTTTAATCAACTGGTCCAGTTTTAGCCAGTGGGTCCGGTTTTGGCCAGTGGGTCCAGTTTTAGCCAGTGGGTCCGGTTTTAGCCAACTGGTCCGGTTTTGGCCAGTGGGTCCAGTTTTATCCAACTGGTCCAGTTTTAGCCAGTGGGTCTGGTTTTATCCAACTGGTCCAGTTTTAGCCAGTGGATGCGGTTTTAGCCAACTGGTCCAGTTTTATCCAACTGGTCCAGTTTTAGCCAGTGGGTCCAGTTTTGGCCAGTGGGTCTGGTTTTATCCAACTGGTCCAGTTTTAGCCAGTGGATGCGGTTTTAGCCAACTGGTCCAGTTTTAATCAACTGGTCCAGTTTTAGCCAGTGGGTCCGGTTTTGGCCAGTGGGTCCAGTTTTAGCCAGTGGGTCCGGTTTTAGCCAACTGGTCCGGTTTTGGCCAGTGGGTCCAGTTTTATCCAACTGGTCCAGTTTTAGCCAGTGGGTCTGGTTTTATCCAACTGGTCCAGTTTTAGCCAGTGGATGCGGTTTTAGCCAACTGGTCCAGTTTTATCCAACTGGTCCAGTTTTAGCCAGTGGGTCCAGTTTTGGCCAGTGGGTCTGGTTTTATCCAACTGGTCCAGTTTTAGCCAGTGGATGCGGTTTTAGCCAACTGGTCCAGTTTTAATCAACTGGTCCAGTTTTAGCCAGTGGGTCCGGTTTTGGCCAGTGGGTCCAGTTTTAGCCAGTGGGTCCGGTTTTAGCCAACTGGTCCGGTTTTGGCCAGTGGGTCCAGTTTTATCCAACTGGTCCAATTTTAGCCAGTGGGTCCAGTTTTATCCAACTGGTCCAGTTTTATCCAACTGGTCCAGTTTTAGCCAGTGGGTCCAGTTTTAGCCAGTGGGTCCAGTTTTAGCCAGTGGGTCCAGTTTTATCCAACTGGTCCAGTTTTAGCCAGTGGGTCCAGTTTTGGCCAGTGGGTCCAGTTTTATCCAGCTGGTCCAGTTTTAGCCAGTGGGTCTAGTTATATCCAACTGGTCCAGTTTTAGCCAGTGGATGCGGTTTTAGCCAACTGGTCCAGTTTTAATCAACTGGTCCAGTTTTAGCCAGTGGGTCCGGTTTTGGCCAGTGGGTCCAGTTTTAGCCAGTGGGTCCGGTTTTAGCCAACTGGTCCGGTTTTGGCCAGTGGGTCCAGTTTTATCCAACTGGTCCAGTTTTAGCCAGTGGGTCTGGTTTTATCCAACTGGTCCAGTTTTAGCCAGTGGATGCGGTTTTAGCCAACTGGTCCAGTTTTATCCAACTGGTCCAGTTTTAGCCAGTGGGTCCAGTTTTGGCCAGTGGGTCTGGTTTTATCCAACTGGTCCAGTTTTAGCCAGTGGGTCCGGTTTTGGCCAGTGGGTCCAGTTTTAGCCAGTGGGTCCGGTTTTAGCCAACTGGTCCGGTTTTGGCCAGTGGGTCCAGTTTTATCCAACTGGTCCAGTTTTAGCCAGTGGGTCTGGTTTTATCCAACTGGTCCAGTTTTAGCCAGTGGATGCGGTTTTAGCCAACTGGTCCAGTTTTATCCAACTGGTCCAGTTTTAGCCAGTGGGTCCAGTTTTGGCCAGTGGGTCTGGTTTTATCCAACTGGTCCAGTTTTAGCCAGTGGATGCGGTTTTAGCCAACTGGTCCAGTTTTAATCAACTGGTCCAGTTTTAGCCAGTGGGTCCGGTTTTGGCCAGTGGGTCCAGTTTTAGCCAGTGGGTCCGGTTTTAGCCAACTGGTCCGGTTTTGGCCAGTGGGTCCAGTTTTAATCCAACTGGTCCAATTTTAGCCAGTGGGTCCAGTTTTATCCAACTGGTCTGGTTTTAATGTTATTCATCTACATTGTTATGACTTATCTGTGTTTATTTAGAAACTATAGCCGAAATGAGTCACTGATCTTTTGTCAAACAGAACTTTGACTAAATGTCAACTGTGTTGATCATCTGCCGCCCCCCCCCATCATATTGGAACTGACAGGTAATAAATAAGCCCCCCTGATGGACAGAAGGTTTTATTTTCTACTGACAGCCACTGACAATGAGGAAAGGGCCTCCACGGCCCCCTGTGAGGCCCTCACACTAAGGGTCACAAACCTCACGTTCCATTAGGGCAGTGGTTCCCAAAGTGTGGGGCGCGCCCCCTAAGGGGGGCGCAATGCCATTGCAGGGGGGGCGCGGGAAGCGGTATGGATGAATGAAGAAAAAAAAAAAAAAAAAACAGCGCTTGCTTGACTGAGCATAATGGACAGTTGTGACACTGCAACCCAGATTTGAGAAGATCTGCAGCAAAAAGCAGGCTCACTACAGCCACTGAAAAGATGGGAGGATTAAAGTACAAAGAAAAAACTCTCAGGGAGCTGTTCAATGTTTTCACTCCATTTTGCACTGAGGCTTTTTTAATGTATTGATGATAGCAAAGTTAAATATTGTTACATATAAAAAAAAAGAAATATGTTTAAAATAACACAGACAACAAAGAATCCTCTTCTAATCTACATTATAGAACTATGTAGGGGGGGGGGGGGGGGGGGGGGGGGGGGGGGGGGGGGTCGTGGAAATTTTATTGTAATCCAAAGGGGGGCCCAGAAGAAAATCTTTGGGAACCACTGCATTAGGGGATTGCTGATCAATCCTACAGACGCCCTCTGATAATCTAATGAAGACCACTGATATGATGTAATGAGCTCCTAGAGGCTGGACTGAGCCTCTAATCCAATCCATCCTACGCATATTTAGCCTTTCTCTAAGCCATTAACTGCAAGTCTCACATCTACTCTCAAAGGAATCGAGACACCATACTGTGACTCCATTCAGCCGAAATGTAGGGACAGTGCTTCCAAACAACCTGGGGGTTACAGAGGTCAGAGGATTTCTACCACTGATGTATGCAGCTACTCAGACAGGAAGCTGTAAGGAAACAGCTCAGAGCAATGGATAGTTTTGCTCCTGGCAAACTATCATGGCAGATATAAACCAGAGTCGCTGCAAGCTAAGTGGGTTGCATTTTAACCAATCAATTATGCATGCAGAGGAATTATTGATGGTGAAAATGTAGTGGGTTACCTGTCGACATGAGGGATGAGGCCTGTGAGGGTTAACCAAGCTGAAAGGACCGGGCTGAACGGACCAGATTTGTCAGACTGTTTGGAAAAACTGGGAAAGTGTTGATGTGTTCGGGGGATTTCTGGAAGAACGCTAAAGGCTACAGAGGGAAGCTTTTTATTATGTTTAAACGCGCTGAATATTACTGCTAGCCATTCTTAGGGTAAAGAAAGTTTGTACTTTAAAACAGTTTAAGGTAAAAAACAAAAAAAAGATTAAAATTATGAGCAAAAAATATTAAAGTATTGAAAACTAGAAATATGTAAAAATGAATCAAAAGCCTATTTAGTTTGATAAAATTTATGTAAATACAAGTCAGAATGTGATCTAATGAGAAGTTTGGTCAACCACTGAGCTGCAGTCCAGGAGGACTCGTTAGCACAGACTCGTTAGCACAGACTCGTTAGCACAGACTCGTTAGCACAGTTCGTTAGCACAGACTCGTTAGCACAGACTCGTTAGCTCTACCGTTCAGCTGGAGGTCACCTGATGACAGAAAAAAGCTCCTCCTGGAAATCAGAGCAGATCAGTTTGTTCTGCTGATCTTCTCTGTGGAACACGACAGAACAGCCGAGTCATCCAGGACCTGTTACTGAGGGACAGGTCAACACCTCACCTGGGACAGCCACTCCTCATCGTCTGGGCCGCTGTGATCCGACGCCAAGCTGTCACATGACTCGTGACGTGTGATTGGACCTGGACTTCCTGGGCTGATCCCTGGAGAGAAAATAAAAAACAAACATGAATGAAAACTAAGATGGTGAATCAGTTTCCCTTTGATTTCATTTCAGAAAAACTAAAATCTATTAGGATTCATCTGAGGTTGAGATTAAAACTCTGATTAAAACAAACGGTTCTTTAGATTAATGGCCGATATGATTTTATTACAAGATGCAAGAATAAATGAGTAAAACTGTTTGGGCTGATTCTTTATCTTTAACCCTTCCTGATTAAAGGCTCTGCAACCTGAGGATTTGAAATGTTTCATCTATTATAACCAAATATATCAGCAAAAATGGAACTGGGTCAATAAAGGAGTTCTGCAGCAAATCAAAGCAGCGTTTCTGTCTAATGGTTTGGAGAGGAAAGGCTGTTAAATCGTCAGCAGAGGCGAGCGGCCAGAACCCACACCTCCAACTGATGGGATCCTCAGATAAATGACTCTAAATCACATGGCCGGATGCACACGAGGTAATGTTTGGTTAGAGAGCCAAAGGAAGGGGAGAAAGTACAATTCTGTGTTTGTTTTCATCTCCAACAGGCATATGACTGCGTATCATACAGTAAAGTGTGAAAAGGCAGAGCAGAGAGGGAGCGACAGAGAGACCAGAGACAGATGGGGCTCCTGCAGGCTTGAATAAGCAAGGCGTGGAGAATGAGTCCTAATGTGTTGAATCAGTCGTCTCTCCATCTCCCACCACAGGGATGGGGTTTGTTTAACACAAGAATGGCTAATAAACGTGTCAAGCCCACATCTGGAGCACAGGAGGCGCCCCTGCCTCTCCTCTCACACATGTGCCAGGTGGTCACCCACACCCTTAATGGAGGCAGCGCGGTGTTTGACACCTCGGCGGCGAATGTCGCATCATGGCGGATTCACACATCAGCCTCACACACTCACACACGTCCCGCTGGAATTAGCAGCTCTGGCCTCATTCGCTGTGTGAATAATTGAAAAAAGGACTCTGTAGTTACTCAGCAGTGAAAGCGGCGTCGCCTTGATCCTTTCACTGACAAAGAAGCGGATAAAAGCCTCATCTAATGCCGTGACAAGAACAAATGCAGAAAAACTGTTCATGGAAATTATTTAGGAAGAAAAAAAAGAGTGAAAAGGAGGAGAAGAGGGACAGAAACAGGAGAGCTGACTGTATTTCCCACATTTCCACTAATCCTGAGGATGGAAGTCAAATATTTATTTGATCATTGATTTATTTTAATCAAATCCTCCTCAGATCATCAGTCAGGATCCAAACACTGACATGAAGGAGAGTCTGCGGGTGACTGAAGTTCAGCTCAGGTTCAAACCACCAACACATAACGTTACAGACTAAATGTCAGAGAATCAAACTTAGAGGACGATTCCAAGTCCCCTGCGTACGAGTCACTTTGGTCCTGTTAGGAAACAGTTCAGTTTAAACTGGTTCAAACATCATCTACCAATGGGATCCCAGCATATAGTCCCACTAGACTGGAGCCAATCCCAGTTTCCTTCTATTTATCCATCAGCTGCTGTTTGATCTCAATATATCAAAGTTCATCATTTTTTGCAGTCAGTATTTAATACAGCTGCACAGTAAATTCATAAAAAATAACAATGTGTTTCTTTATTGTGGATTCATTATATTGAAAATAATGTAACCTTTGATTTAAGTGAAAGACCGTTTGATACTAGGGAGGATTAAGGTTTTCTGCTTATCAATTAATCTTAAGTGAAATTAAAAGATTAATCAACTTCAGATTAACTGTCAACCAAAAAGCCAACTTTGTGCGCTAGTTGAAAAACACTAGTGTGGTGAAAATGAATTTAGACGTGTAAAAAGTTTCGCTGATGCCAGCAGCAGCTTTCCCAGTGAGAATGCAGCTAAAACACGACTCAGGTTAACGATTAAAACCACTGAACTGAATCTCTTCATCACGTCTGATGAAGACAGACTGACCAGCTGGATGTTTGAACACAGAAATGATGAAAGGAGCTTAAAACTGATCAAATCTTTAGGAGTTTCTAGAATAAACTCATTGGATCGTTTCCAAACTACGAAGCATTTAGCTGCTTAGATTTGGCTTCATGGACCCTTCTACACGCTTTAGATCCAGATCAATTGACAGGATTTAGCCCCGGGGCCTGGAGGGCCCCTATGGAGGGCCCCTATGGACGGCCCCTACGGAGGGCCTCTATGGAGGGCCCCTACGGAAGGGTTCTATGGAGGGCCTCTATGGAGGGCCCCTATGGACGGCCCCTACGGAGGGCCTCTATGGAGGGCCCCTACGGAAGGGTTCTATGGAGGGCCCCTATGGAAGGCCTCTATGGAGGGCCCCTATGGAAGGCCTCTATGGAGGGCCCCTATGGAAGGCCTCTATGGAGGGCCCCTATGGAGGGCCCCTACGGAGGGCCTCTATGGAGGGCCCCTATGGAGGGCCCCTATAGCGGGCCTGCATGGTGGATCCAGGGGGAGGGATCAGAGCCTCATTCTTTGTTCCACCTCCAGTATATTAATCTACAGAATATTAATCTCAGTAATCTACAGTATAATAATCTCTCTGCTCCCCTCCACTAATCAGAACTGAAGATGGATGAGGGGAGAATCATCTAGAAACTTCACGTTGCCTAAAGTGAATTTCCAAGCCTTTAAGAACCTGTTTAGTCGTTTTAAGTGAAGCTGCTGTTTTTCATGTCAGATTACAGGTGGAGCTGAAGGCAGCTTCCCTCAGAGCAGCTTGGACTCAGGAGCTCAGTCCTTCTGCTCCATGCTGGATGGAGCAGACCGACAGCCAAGCCGTCCTTTCTCTGCCTGTCTTTGATCTCTGAGCCTGTCATGGCGGCGGCCTTACCAAACGCCACGCGCTCCGAGGCCTTCACTGGGGCTCCTAACCTAACTGAGCTGTCATGGTTCTCAGCGTCCCAGATGGAGCCCCAGTCAGCCGGTCTCCAGCGTCAGCACATTACAGGGTCCCTGGGTTTGCCCCCCCATCACTGGGCTACAGCCGTGAAGTTTGACATGGGGGGGGCGTCTTCCTGAGGTCATTTTTTTAATCACCTGATCAGCATTTCCTTTTTTCTATGAAGAGCGAAGCTGCAGATGCTGGTCCTGGATCTGTTTGCCAGTGCGTCTCCCTGGCCTCCTTATCTCTGCTAAGATTGGCTGCCCTGCCATCCTCTGAGTGCTGCAGATGGACAGGTGGAGATAGTGACCATGAAGTGGCGCCACTCGTGTCTTTTATCTCCCCGTCCTCCAGGCTCCGGTCTGGCCTCATCCAGGGCCTTCCTCTCCTCCTGTTTTTCTCTTTCAAGCTGCATTTTTAATCAGGCTGGGTCATCCAATATAGAGCCCTGAGACTGGAGATTAAGGCCTGTCAGTCACACACTGACACCCCCCCTCGCAGTGAGGAAGAAGTGTTAGTCTGCTGCTGGGTTCAGGAGACGCTTCTATAATGGTAGCTTCTCTCTAACTGGACTCTGTTTAATGGCTGCTGGCCGATGCAGATCTGACCTAGATTAAACGATTAGGTCTGCCAGTTGGAACAGAGTCTTTTCTGTTCCGGACGCTCAGCAAGACGCACTTTGACAAGGAACTTATGGTGCTGCTGTAATTCCTCCTGAGGTCAAATAGACTCTTTCTCCTGGATCACTTCTCAGCAAAGCTGCCAAGCCCTGGAGGGGGCAGAGGAGAGGGCTGGCAGGGGGACACATGCTGGGGATGCTGGAGCCCCTCTCTGGGTGCAAAGCTCAGAGATGGAAGGTGGCGGTCCGAGAGAAGAGAGACGGAGGAACAGTTATGCTTCTCTGGTCCCAGCGCTGCACGCCTGGCCGACCACGCAGGAAACATCCACCCTGGATTTATCCGCTGCTGTTAATTGGATGTAAATGTTAATGCAATGAATCTCCCTCATTATGCAGCCAGTTTCGATACTCATGGCGGCGGCGGCGGCGCCCGAGCCCGTCACCGCGCCACGTCCTCATCGCTCTGACACTACGAGAGACCATTATCACTAATTTGACAAACTCTCCTACCAGTTAGACCTGGAGCACTGCAGCGTGAGTCAGAGACGGCTGTAAACACGGCCGGCCTCGGCCCGCGGCGAACACTACAACTAATTAAACATTTCCAATCATGGAGCGAACCGCCATCCTGTGGCTGCGGGGGCGGGGCATGGCGCTCCAGCTTTCTGCATCACGGCCTCTCAGCACTAGTTACTGAATACGAGGGAGCTCAGGGTGTCGGGGGGGGTCTGCAGACACCTACCAGCCAGGAGGCACTGATAGTACTGAACCAGGTCCGAGGCCAGAACCAGGGGGTGGCTGGAGGTGAAAGGAGGCTGCAGCTCGTTCCACTGCGGAGTCCTGCAGAGGAAGAAGAGCGTGAACGTCGGCAGTGCGGCCATATTGGCGGAGGAAGAGGCGAGCGGCAGTTACCTGGCTAACGTCCAGCACGCTCTGGGAGAGGTGCTCAGCTCCAGCGGAGTCTCATCGCTGATCTTCTGCGCAGTGCTGATCGGCCGAGGCTCCAGGACGTGCTCCACCACGTTACCGTAGCAACTGATTATGTACAGCGAGTCCACGACCGACTGGCGGGACTGATCTGTTGGGAAGCCATGATGCAAACCCCACAGTTGGACATCAGGCTGCAGACGTCTGGAAAGAGGTCTGAAAGAAACGCACCTTTTTCTCTCTTCATGTTGGGGTTTGTGATGAACCAGGAGCGAGACGAGGCGAAGATGGCAGCGACGCAGAACTCTCCACCGCTGGACTTGCTGGGGGAGATCTGGGGGGGCGGTTTGGCTTTGCTTCAGGAGGAAGAAAGAGTCACAATTTAGCAACAACATTACCTGAAAAATAAGGAATGAAAGATTTGATTTGAGTTCAGAGTGGCTAAAAAACCCTGAAATGTTGCATCTAATTCATCTGAAGCTGGTTTCTGCTCTGATGGCCGCCGCAGCCCTTTGACCAATCAGGAGCCGGGATCAAAGCTTAGCTCCCTAAACCCCCGCCTGCTGGGAGATTTCAGCCGAGAACCTGGTGGTCAGCAGCTCCTTCACTGCCAGGACCAGCCTGACCTCCTGATGCTGACGGGCGGCCATGATGCCTCAGAGGGCCGAGCCCACCAGCTGAGACTCAGGAAGGAGCGTTAGATGTTTCAGCTATGGACGACTTTTTATAGCAGATAGAATCCAGAAACATCAATAGGACTGGAGAGAACGGGGGGGGGGGATTCTGATTCAGACGGCAGGAAACAGATCCATAGAGATAACCGACCTGAGCAGCTTCCTCCTCTAACAACATCTGCATCAAGCAACTGGATGGGAAGCAAAACGTCTTCAAACCTTGGAAACAAAGTCCAGTGGATTGGTTTTTAAACTTTTAAGGAATGACTATGACCTGGATGACTGAGGATCTTCACCAGCATGTTACCATGACAACTACCCAACAGCTTCTCCTTCTGACATTCACCATCATTCACCATCAGCGTGTGGAGGATACGCTGGGTGAGTTCCATCCATCTTCTGACACGCTTTATCCCTACTGTGGTGGTGAGGGGGGCTGGTTCCTATCTCTAGCTGTCTACAGGTGAGAGGCGGGGTCCACCATGGACACCCCGTCCCACCTGGACAGGTCTCCAGTCCATCACAGGGCAACACAGAGACAAACAGGACAAACAACCATTCACTCCCACCTAAGGAGGATTTAGAGAAGCCCATGAACCTAACAGTCATGTTTTTGGACTGTGGGAGGAAGCTGGAGTACCCAGAGAGAACCCACCATGCTCAGGGAGAACATACTAACATGCAGCGGTGCTACCCACTGAGCACATGGGAGGAGTTCCTCAGAGCTTTATTCTAAATTATTCTGCTGATGCCTGGTCTGCTGCTGAATGGAAGGAGAATGAGAGGAAAGAGCAGGATTCTTCTTTCATTGGTCAGCGCCGGGCAGAGAGCAGGAGAAGCTAATATCTATGGGGGGGGGGGGCTCAGGATATTGCTTTGGCTGAATCCTCCTCATGTCCTCTCCTTCAGGCTCTTCCACATATTTCACCTCTAAAGGTCTTTTCTCTGTTTGAACCATCCTGGAGAGGAAAACTAAACATCTCATTCATGAAGAAGCAGCTTAGCAATCCCAGCACGTTGCCATGGAAATGAGGAAAAAAGATATCCTTCTCCAACGGCTCACCTAGATTTCAGATTTATGGTTCAGGGACAAAAAAATCTTTCTTTGGCTTTTCAGTTTATTCCTGGAAAAAGCGTAGCGTCTGCGAGGCGATGCGGTTGGCCAGCTTCAGCAACCCGTAGGACACAAATCTTTCTGGAGTCGGCTCACGTCCGTCTGCAGGGCTGAGCAGGTCAAGCGGGAGGAATATTCCACATATGGCCTTTTAATTTAGACCCAACAACTTTCTGCAATCACCGCTTTACAAAGAGAGCCGGCTGCTCTTCTTCCAGCAGGATCCTGACGAGAGCTCATGATATACTGACCAACATGCCACCGCATACAGAGCGAACATACATTAAAGAATCACACCATGGATATAGTTAGAAGGCAGCAGCGCTGGCTCCCCGCTGTGGTTTCATAGGCTCTTTGAAGAGGCCTCAGCTCGCACCGAGCCTGCCAACAGGAGGAAAGATCACAGCTTGCTTCCTTTCTCATCTGGCTGCACTGACCACTAAAATGCATTCATCTGCATTTTAAATCATACGTTTGCTCTTGATCTCCCTGGAAGTGGCTTAAACGTGTCGAGGTTTCCGCCCTGTGACTAAAAAGTGCAGCTCCAGGGCTTCGCCGCGTTTGCAGCTTTATGACGCAGGCCGCCGGCGTGGTAATGGGAAGGCCGACAGCTCAGAGCTACAGAAAAATGTAACCCAATATCAGCAAATGAGGAACATAAATATATACTGAGAGGGAACCAGATGTTTCTAAACAAACTAATCTCCCTCTTTCCTTCAGAAACTCGGCCTCTTAGCTGGGAGGGGAATCAATGTTTTCCTTTGCAACTTTAATTCACTGAAAAGACTACTCACATGTCATTTCCACTTTTAATTTCACAAATGAGGCCTCTTGACTGAGCTAATAGCTTTTCCTCAAGGGCATAATTCAATCTGCGACATCAACCATCAAAGTCCCTTCGCATTACTACGTCCGGAGCTAACATGAGGCGCCGTGGGGTGGGGGGGTGCATGTCCAGTGGCAGGATCCATTTATTCTCAGTCCTGGCAGTAAACAGTAATAGAGCCGTTATAGAGGAGCAGCTTTCTGCCGTTAGAAGCTATCAAACAACGACGGCGGCTTCAGGAGGTGTTAGAACAGCTGTAAGACTGAAGAAAGGTCTAAGGAGCCGCTTGCTTCATCTAGATATTTACCACAGGTTTGCTAAAAATGTTTTAGAAAAGAAAATCTGTTAAAATAAAACAGACAATAAATCTATTAAAGAAAATGTATTAAATTAGTTCTAATCAGATCCAAAGCAGCTTCAAACTGCGGAGGATGTGTACCTTTGAAAATCTATATGCTCCGAGGGTCTAGATGAGTTAGATGCTGAATGAAGGCGGAAAGAAAAAAGTTTCAATTAAAAAGTATGACTGACTGCCCACAACAAAAGGCGAAACCCAAGACGTGGAGAAGCACCACATGCTATTCATTTTCTAAAGTGAATGGAGTCAGCGGGGAGGACAGGGAAAAGTTCACTCAATCATCCCTCCATGAGCGACTCCTTCCTTTAAAAGCTTCTCAGCATCTGATTTCAGGAGGCAGTGTTGATAAGACCCCCCCCCCAAAAAAAAAAAACAAAGTTCAGGAAGTTAAACTTTATATCAGATGATCTGGGCGGTGGAAAGGATTCAGCGCTCAGCAGGATGATCCTTCATCGTGTTTTCACTCATCCATCAATCAGCAAAGAATATTTATAATTATTATTATTTTAAGCATAATAGAAAATCTATCAAATAAACTCCTAAAACTAAATCTGTTGTTTTTTACATATTTGAACATTTGTTTAAAAAATAAAATATATTCAATCAACATTTTAAATACAATGCGTTTATTTTTGTTTTACCACCGTTTGCTTTGTTCCTTACAGTTAGTCATTCAGTGCTAAAGCTGCTCTTATCCAGCAGTGAACTATTTTTCCAGAGTAGTTGGGATTCCCGTGGAGCGCCATATTCTCTCCAGCTTCCTAGCATTTAGCTTCAGCTCTGCATTAAACCGAGGAGCCAGCTTTCTATTCTTTGCTGCGTTGCTTGGGAGTGACGTGGGTCTGGGGGATGGAGGTATTGCTGCAGCTGTGCCTCCCGCCTGCTATAGGTAGGATTAGGGCCCGGGTCCTTTGAGGGCCTTGAGCCATGATGGATAGGGCTTGGTGGTCTGTGGTGAGGAACCAGGGGTTTTCCAGATGGGATCTGGGATCTGGGAGAGGATCAGGTCTCTGGGGGTTCTCCTCCACTGGCCGTGCTCTGCCTTATGGTATCCTTCTGAATCTTTGGAGGATCACTGCCTTGGTTGATGCTGGACTGTGAGTGTGACGAGTGCGACATGAGGTCTGGGACTTGTCCTCCGCCATGTGATGTGGGACCATAGGTGTTGTGGGCATGAGGGGGGCACCATACAGGACCCCCTTAGTCACACCAGGGTCCGTTCTTTGGCTCAATCTCAAGTTCAGGAGACAATTAGGACTTTAATTGTCAACAAGAGACAAGAGTTTGGTTTTGTACTTTCTAGAAAATATCTGCATTTAGAGGTTTAGACATAAACATCTACGCTCATCAGATGACCTCACATTGGCACAGAGAAACCAACCCCTGAAAGGGCCTTGGAGCGCGGGGCGCTGAGGCTTCTGGGTACGGAGGACGCACCATGCACTGACGCCTTCCTCGTTATCCCGAACCCCGATCCTCGCGCCAATTCTAAATACCCCACAGACCCACGGCTAGGGCTGGGCGATATGGAAAAAAAACTATATCACGATATGGATTATTTTATATCACGATAACGATATATATCACGATATGCCACAACTGATGTTGCATTTTATGTTTTCATAGTCCGTCAGATGGACAGGGTTGAAAAAAATCTTTCATTGCCTATTTTTTACCCATCCTCTTGTTTCCTAATATGAGAATCCCAACCTCAAACCAAGAACACCAGTTATGCAATTTGCGGCCATGACAGTGAACAGTATAGAATCTTGGCTAGATAAAATAAAAAAGTTTATCACGATAGAAAAAATAGAGGAGAAAGGTCACGATAGACATGTTTCTCTCGTCCTCACGATATATATCGCCATATCGCCCAGCTCTACCCACGGCCTGTTTGGGCGCCGAGGCTTCTGGGTAATTATTTTACCATAGGAACTGGAGGCCTTTATAACAATCATTTTAAAAGTGATGATAAAACACATTTAATTTTTTTTCCGTAAAAATTCAAAAATTATCCACTGGACTTGGTTTCCAAGATTTGAAGACGTTTCGCCACCTCTCCAGGGTGACATTTGAATTGAGAAAGCTTCCTGGAGAGGTGGCAAAACGTCTTCAAATCTTGGAAACCAAGTCCAGTGGATAATTTTTGAATTTTTACGGAATGACTATGACCTGGATGACTGAGAACCTTCATCAGCATAAAACACATTTTAAAATAAAATCCATTGCTATCAGGATAGATCTCAATTTCTGATCAGTATAGCTTTATTTCCACAATGATGAATAGAAAAACATCACAGAAATTCTCCTTCTCTACATAGAAAAACAGCAGTAGAGTTAAAACCAAACAAATAAATATTAAAACAAAGATTTTAGGTGAATCTGTTTTCCTTTTTGGAGGAATTTAGCAAATAAAAAGCATAAATCAGTGTGAGAACACTGAGAATGACAGTAGAGTGTGAGAAGCAGAAGCGCTGCGTGCAAACACACATCCAATGGAAAAAACGAAACCAAAAGAACATTTCAACAAAAGCTCCATTCTTGGAAAAACACAGTGGAGGGTCGACACAAAGGAAAGACAGTAACGCCATTCTGCACATGGCGGCACGCCGCAGCCTCCCACAGGCGCCGAAGCTTTCACCCTAAAAGGTTTACGTCAGTAAATACCAACAACCTTATAAAACAAGATAAATAACTAAGGAAATACAACACCTTGTTTTTTGATGTGCTAAAAACTTATACAATCAAATATACATTAATCACTTAAAAATGTCTGGATTTTTGTTTCTGCTTCAGTCGCAACTAAAGAGAAACTGATGAAAAACTTTTACATCTTTTGCACTAAGAACACCTGCAAAATCAGCAGAGTTTTAAATACATGTTTTCCTCACTTTATACATCTCTCTCCCTCTCTCTCTCTCTCTCTCTATCTATCTCTCTCTCTATATATAATATATATATATATATATATATATATATATATATATATATATATATATATATATATATATATATATATATATATATATATATAAACACATTACCGTTCAAAAGTTTGTGGTCACCCAAACAATTTAGTGTTTTCCTGAAAAGTCACACTTATTCACCACCATATGTTGTGAAATGAATAGAAACTAGAGTCAAGACATTGACAAGGTTAGAAATAATGATTTGTATTTGAAATAAGATTTTTTTTTTACATCAAACTTTGCTTTGGTCAAAGAATCCTCCATTTGCAGCAATTCCAGCATTGCAGACCTTTGGCATTCTAGCTGTTATTCTGTTGAGGTAATCAGGAGAAATTCCCCCCCACGCTTCCAGAAGCTCCTCCCACCAGTTGGATTGGTTGGATGGGCACTTCCTGCGTCCCATACGGTCAATCTGCTCCCACAGCAGCTTAATGGGGTTCAGATCTGGTGACTGCGCTGGCCACTCCATTACCCAAAGAATACCAGCTGCCTGCTTCTGCTCTAAATAGTTCTGCACAATTTGGAGGTGTGTGTAGGGTCATTGTCCTGTTGTAGGATGAAATTGGCTCCAATCAAGCGCTGTCCACTGAGTATGGCATGGCGTGGCAAAATGGAGTGATAGCCTTCCTTATTCAGAATCCCTTTTACCCTGTACAAATCTCCCAGCTTACCAGCACCAAAGCAACCCCAGACCATCACATTACCTCCACCGTGCTTAACAGATGGCGTCAGGCATTCTTCCAGCATCTTTTCATTTGTTCTGCGTCTCACAAACGTTCTTCTTTGTGATCCAAACACCTCAAACTTGGATTCATCCGTCCACAACACTTTTTCCAGTCTTCCTCTGTCCAATGTCTGTGTTCTTTTGCCCATCTTAATCTTTTTCTTTTATTGACCAGTCTCAGATATGGCTTTTTCTCAGATATGGCTTTTTCTTTGCCGCTCTGCCCTGAAGCCCAGAATCCTGCAGCCGCCTCTTCACTGTAGATGTTGACACTGGTGTTTTGCGGATACTATTTAATGAAGATGCCAGTTGGGGACCTGTGAGGCGCCTGTTTCTCAAACTAGAGACTCTAATGTACTTATCTTCTTGCTCAGTTGTGCAACGCGGCCTCCCACTTCTTTTTCTACTCTGATTAGAGCCTGTTTGTGCTGTCCTCTGAAGGGAGTAGTACACACCATTGTAGGAAATCTTCAATTTCTTAGCAATTTCTGGCATGGAATAGCCTTCACTTCTAAGAACCAGAATAGACTGTCGAGTTTCAGATGAAAGTTCTCTTTTTCTGGCCATTTTGAGCGTTTAATTGACCCCACAAATGTAATGCTGCAGATACTCAATCTGCTCAAAGGAAGGTCAGTTTTGTAGCTTCTGTAACGAGCTAAACTGTTTTCAGATGTGTGAACATGATTGCACAAGGGTTTTCTAATCATCAATTAGCCTTCTGAGCCAATGAGCAAACACATTGTACCATTAGAACACTGGAGTGATAGTTGCTGGAAATGGGCCTCTATACACCGATGGAGATATTGCACCAAAAACCGGACATTCACAGCTAGAATAGTCATTTACCACATTAGCAATGTATAGAGTGTATTTCTTTAAAGTTAAGACTAGTTTAAAGTTATCTTCATTGAAAGTACAGTGCTTTTCCTTCAAAAATAAGGACATTTCAATGTGACCCTAAACTTTTGAACAGCAGTGTATATATATATATATATATATATATATATATATATATATATATATATGCATTCTTTCTATCCGTCTATTTTACTAATACTTGTCAAGCAATAAAAATGGATTTGCAAGGCAACACCATGGACAACAAAATGCAAAACAGGGACAAAAAAAAAGGCCTCATTGGAAACGTTTTGATACCGTTGAGTAAGAACTGAACAAAGATTTAAAAAAAATCCACAAAGCAAAAGAAGGAACAATACAGGAAATGGTTAAAGCAGAGAGAACCACTGCATGCGGCTGACGACGAGGCGAAAAGCAAACTCACCATGGAGTTTTAATGGCAAAGCATCCCGCCCCAAAGAGGTACGGTCTCCATGAGGAAGGGGTGGCGGTGAAGAGAGTGGGGACACAGAGATAGACGGAGAAGCCATTACTACGCTTGCACACTTGACCAAACACACTTTTCTCATTAGACACTGGTTGACGTGTGCAGAGCAAACATACGGCAGGAAACAGAACGTCTGAGCTAAGATGGATGTAAGGACCTGCAGGATGGTTGGAGGATTCATCCGTCCAAGCTGCTCTGCAGAGTGGGAGATCATTTCATCATGGTCTGGACATCTGTCGCCTTATTTCTTTATTTCTCCTTTATTAATGAGGTTCATGAGCATAATTGCTGAGGAGGAAGCGCCCTGAGTAAATAGAGCGAGGAAATAAGGTGGACATCAGAGATAAAAAACCAGTCTGAGGAGCTGACCTGATTTGTATAACTGGGGACACCAGTAAAACTAACAGGACTCCTGCATTGTTGAGACAAGGAGCTGTGTGTTTGCAAGCAGCATGCTTTTTTTTTTACAGTGACTGTGTATTTATGGCAGAGCGTGGCCTTTTGGAAGATGGGCTGCGGGCAAATGTGTATCCACTGTGATTATGTTAACAAGTGTGTGTTAGTGTGCGTCCGGGAGTCATCCAGAGTTTAGCGTCTTTTTCAGGGAACATGGCTGTCCGTCCGTCTGCGAGTGTGTTTCTGATGTTTATAAGACATCAGCAGTGGGAGTGTGTTCCTGTGTTTATTCTGCACGGCCAGAGATAGTGACATAGCTCCATAAACAGTTTACAGTAAATAAGTCTCTGTGCCTGCAGCAATAAAGATCCGATGAGACTGAACTCTGTCCCTGAGAGCCAACCTCCCCGAGTCTTGAAAAGAAAGACTCCCCAGCCAACCAAAGCACTTTATCGCTGCGCTAGCATCCGCCTGGGCCCTCCCAGTGATAGCACGCAGGGGCCAATTAGTCCTGGAGCACAAATATGAAAAGAAATGGTCCTCTGGGAGGCGTCTGCCAAAAAACGCTTCACTGCTGGAGCGCAAACTGACCAATGAACCCAGCAGTTAGTTCCAGGGAGGCCCCTGGCTAACTTTATCTACCCTACTGCGGAGCCCTCTGACCCCGCCGGGCCCCCGCTCTGGGTCTCCAGCTGAGAAAATGGACACACACCAATAGGAGACATCAACATGCGAGTGGTCATGCGTCAGACGGGCTGTAAGTTTGTTCCAGAATAGCAAGACGGCCCAAAAACACAGAAACTGATCAATTAACTGGGAAGGAAAATGTTGAAGCTAAACACACATCAGGAGCTCCGCTGGGTGGCTTCATTGGACGGGTGTCAGCGGCTGGTTAACCGCACCTGCCTAACCGCACCTGCCTAACCGCACCTGCCTAACCGCACCTGCCTGACCGCACCTGCCTAACCGCACCTGCCTAACCGCACCTGCCTAACCGCACCTGCCTAACCGCACCTGCATCCTATCGTTCTGATCTGAACAGAGACCGTTCTGTCTGCAGCTTCTTCTGACTGCGCCTCCTCCTCCTCCTCCAGGCTTTAAGGAGGTGAGGTTTCTCCTTTAAGGAACTCCTGAGCTGCAGAGTTACAGAGAACCTGCATCAGTTAAGGTTCTCCATCGCTTATCGGGACGTTTGCTGAATCCAAACCTCTCTGCATGAAATGTAACCAGAAAAACTAAAATACCAGAAAATGTTGAGATGTTCAAAGTTCAAGATGCTTTTTTAAAAACCTGCTTCAAACCTTTGAACTTTGTTTTTTCAGCGTTCTGTTAACAGTTTTAGCAGGAACTGGTCTATGATCAGTATGAAACGGAGCACTGGTCGGTGAGAGGAAGCCTCCAGAAAAACGTCAGTGATGTCACCTCCGCATTCCACTGACCTTGCTCTATTTTCATAGAGTCAGAGATAGAACTGGATGAAGAAACTTCAGCAGAAAAACGCCGGTCAAGGTAAGGATCGACATCTCACCGTTAGCTTCTGATAGTTGTGCTAACCGCACTAATGTCAGTAATGCTAACTAAATGTTTCAACATTTAAACTCGTAGGGAAGCGGCTGTTCCAACCTTCACATTTCCAAATTCTCCCAGTGGTGCACGACTTTACACAAGTGAATAAAGTGAATGTGATTGGTCAATTATTAGGGGGGCGGGAGGTTCACAAGCATTTTAGTTGTAGCTGGTTTGTTGGGAGTATCTTGCTAACCAGTTAGCATCTTAGTGCTAGCAGGTTCCCAATGGGAAATTCCATTGGGACCAAGTAGCACTAAATTGGTGACTTAGAAACGACGCTGTCAAGGAACGCTATGGACAGCGGAAACATGCAAGAGGAGGAGAGTTTAGTGTCGGAGGTCGTGGATGAGTCTTCTCCGTCATCCATTTTTTATTTAGAGGAGGAAAGCGGGGACGAAGATGTTGTGGAAGAGGACGCCAGGGCGGCAGAAGCTTGGTTTGGTGTAGAAGGCTTCCAGCCGTACATGTTTGAGCCCTTGCCTCGCTACGCTGCCAGTTCTGTTAGCTCTACGCCTGCCGAAGACACAGACGTCCATCCCCGTGAACACTGGGACGCAACTCAATGGGAAAGGAAACGATTCTGGTTTCAACCGTTGCGTATATTAGCTGCGACACATGAATCAAGATGCTATGACTGAAAACATTTGATTGACAGATGACCGTTGATATATGATTGGCCGAATTTAGGTGTTCAGGCTGACGTAGAACTAACTGGCCTGCAGAAGATAACGGAAAAAAAAACAACACAGATTTTAGGACAGGATTTTTTTAGAAATAGAAATTTTCTAACTTAACTGGAGCTGAACTGGTTCTGACCTGGAGCTGTACTGGTGCTGAACTGGAGCTGAACTAGAGCTGAACTGGTTCTGAACTGGTTCTGAGCTGGAGCTGAACTGGTTCTGAGCTGGAGCTGAACTGGAGCTGAACGGGAGCTGAACGGGAGCTGAACTGGAGCTGAACGGGAGCTGAACCAGAGCTGAACTGGTTCTGAGCTGGAGCTGAACTGGAGCTAAACTTGTTCGGAACTGAAGCTGAACTGGTTCTGAGCTGGAGCTGAACTGGAGCTGAACGGGAGCTGAACTGGTTCTGAGCTGGAGCTGAACTGGTTCTGAGCTGGAGCTGAACTGGAGCTAAACTTGTTCGGAACTGAAGCTGAACTGGTTCTGAGCTGGAGCTGAACTGGAGCTGAACGGGAGCTGAACTGGTTCTGAGCTGGAGCTGAACTGGAGATGAACTGGAGCTGAACTTGTTCGGAACTGAAGCTGAACTGGTTCTGAGCTGGAGCTGAACTGGAGCTGAACGGGAGCTGAACTGGAGCTAAACTTGTTCGGAACTGAAGCTGAACTGGAGCTAAACTGGAGCTGAACGGGAGCTAAACTTGTTCGGAACTGAAGCTGAACTGGAGCTAAACTGGAGCTGAACGGGAGCTGAACGGGAGCTGAACTGGAGATGAACTGGAGCTGAACTTGTTCGGAACTGAAGCTGAACTGGTTCTGAGCTGGAGCTGAACTGGAGCTGAGCTGGAGCTGAACTGGAGCTGAACTGGAGCTGAACTGGAGATGAACTGGAGCTGAACTGGAGCTGAACTGGTTCTGAGCTGGAGCTGAACTGGAGCTGAGCTGGAGCTGAACTGGAGCTGAACTGGAGCTGAACTGGAGCTGAACTGGAGATGAACTGGAGCTGAACTTGTTCGGAACTGAAGCTGAACTGGAGCTAAACTGGAGCTGAACGGGAGCTGAACCGGTGCTGAACGGGAGCTGAACTGGAGCTGAACTGGAGCTGAACTGGAGCTGAACCAGAGCTGAAACGGTTCTGAACTGGTTCTGAGCTGGAGCTGAACTGGTTCTAAGCTGGAGCTGAACTGGAGCTGAACTGGTTCTGAGCTGGAGCTGAACTGGAGCTGAACTGGAGCTAAACTTGTTCGGAACTGAAGCTGAACTGGAGCTAAACTGGAGCTGAACGGGAGCTGAACGGGAGCTGAACTGGAGATGAACTGGAGCTGAACTTGTTCGGAACTGAAGCTGAACTGGTTCTGAGCTGGAGCTGAACTGGAGCTGAGCTGGAGCTGAACTGGAGCTGAACTGGAGCTGAACTGGAGATGAACTGGAGCTGAACTGGAGCTGAACTGGTTCTGAGCTGGAGCTGAACTGGAGCTGAGCTGGAGCTGAACTGGAGCTGAACTGGAGCTGAACTGGAGCTGAACTGGAGATGAACTGGAGCTGAACTTGTTCGGAACTGAAGCTGAACTGGAGCTAAACTGGAGCTGAACGGGAGCTGAACCGGTGCTGAACGGGAGCTGAACTGGAGCTGAACTGGAGCTGAACTGGAGCTGAACCAGAGCTGAAACGGTTCTGAACTGGTTCTGAGCTGGAGCTGAACTGGTTCTAAGCTGGAGCTGAACTGGAGCTGAACTGGTTCTGAGCTGGAGCTGAACTGGAGCTGAACTGGAGATGAACTTGTTCGGAACTGAAGCTGAACTGGAGATGAACTGGTTCTGAGCTGGAGCTGAGCTGGAGCTGAACCAGAGCTGAACTGGAGCTGAACTGGAGCTGAAACGGTTCTGAACTGGTTCTGAACGGGAGCTGAACTGGTTCTGAGCTGGAGCTGAACCAGAGCTGAAACGGTTCTGAACTGGTTCTGAACGGGAGCTGAACTGGTTCTGAGCTGGAGCTGAACTGGAGATGAACTGGAGCTGAACTTGTTCGGAACTGAAGCTGAACTGGTTCTGAGCTGGAGCTGAACTGGAGCTGAACGGGAGCTGAACTGGAGCTGAACTGGAGCTGAGCTGGAGCTGAACTGGAGCTGAACTGGAGCTGAGCTGAAGCTGAGCTGGAGCTGAACTGGTTCTGAACGGGAGCTGAACTGGAACTGAACTGGTGCTGAACTGGTTCTGAGCTGGAGCTGAATTGGAGCTGAACTGGTTCTGAACTGGAGCTGAACTGGTTCTGAACTGGGACGGTTGATCCCCCAATCATCGTGGTCTATCCTGTCCCTCTCAGAGGTGACTTTAAAACGCTGTTTTCTTAAAGCAGCTTTTTTAGCGAGGCCCGGTCGGCCTGGGGAAGGAAGCCTTAAACACGTATTACTGTAAGCTGAGGGCCATCTGTGGCAGAGCATCATTGTTCTTTTGCTGTCATGTTTCTCGTTCGGCCGCCTGCATCCCTGGGATTTGGACTCTGCTGCTTTGCGTGTGACAATCTCTCCATTTAGATTTTGATTCGTCTGTGTTAAATTCAGACGGTGTGTAGATGGGATAAGAGTGCAAATCCCACATCTGACCCTGACTGGCTCTTTGACAACTTTAATCTTTCATCATTGGGCCGAGCTGCATGTCGGCCGTCCTCTCAGCATTCTTCTCACCAAAGGAGAACCTGCTGATGGAGAAGCGGCGCTTGAACCAATCAGAAGCTGAGCTGCTGACGGCTAACAGAAAACATACGGCTGGGTCACAGCGAGACGCCTCCCTGCTCTGAGGCTGGGAGCGACCCTGAGGACTAGCAGATGCTTGGCTACGTTCCTCCACGGCTCGGCGCGGCCCGGTCTGTGGGGGGGTTATCAGGCGGATGCTGAGCCACATCCGATTCCACCTCCCTGTCTGACATCAAGGCGAGCGAGCGCTGCGTGGAGCGCAGCAGGGCTGCTTTGATGTCAGTCACTGAGGACAAACAGCAACATCTCCTGAACATTGGTGGTCTGGAGAATGGCTGCATCCTAACGGTTACCATGGCGATGCTGCGTCACAGCAGAGGGGCGTGGGCGGGAATGTAGGTTAGCAGCTGGCGCGTTCCTCTGCAGCCCTGCCAGCAGCGATCTGCTCATACAGGTGTAAATCCAGCTGCTGGACGCTCCTTTCTCCGCCTCGCCGTGACACACAGGAAGGAGAGACAGACGGACAGATGGTGCTTGGGTTCTCCTGTGCGAGAATAGCGTAAAAGCATATGATATCACCCCCCCCTCTAGGGGCAGAACCTGCTGCCTCACCCTCAGCCAGTGTGAGTCGGTGCAGCGGTGTGCTGCACAGCTGCGTGTCCCGATGCATTAATGCCGACGTCTCTCCTGGACTGAATGAAACCATGAAGCCACTCTGATAATGTCCCACAGAGCCGGCGCAGCGGAGCAGCTCGCCTCAGAAACAGGCATGGTTTGGACGCCAAAGAGAGAGAGCATCACATCAGCTCCTGCAGCCAACCATAGAGCTGTTATCAGGGGGGGATTCTACACCTTCAGGGTCTCTGCTGGTAAAAATCCTACAATAATTTTATAGCACAGAACATTTATGGGGATTTAAAAAGCCAGAGCGTTGGCCAGAGGCTGCTGCAGGACCTGCTGTGCTTTCCTGGAAGACTGACCTTCAGGGAGGAGAAGAATCTGCAGGTTTTCTTCTCTGAACGGTTTAAAACATGTAATGAGTAAAATGATCGGTTGATTGAATATGGCGTTCCCCGGCACTGAAAGCTCCGCCCTACGCCAGCGGCACCTTCAACCTCCTCTTCATCACCTTTATGGTCTGATAAAAATGTTTGTTGTCTTTGAAATATTCTAGTTTAATTAAAATGACTCTTTATCTTGTTTTATGCCACATTTTTAGAAAAAGGCAGTTTAGGTTTAGTGTTTACTTCTCTGTCTGAAAGTTAAAGAAACGGTTCTGCATCATGAGACTTTACCCTGAGATGTTCAACCCTGGTTTTGTGAATGAACTCATCGTCATGATGCACAGCTCAGCTGAGGCAGAGTCAGAGCAAAGCCGTTTCAGGTCTGAAGCTCCAGGAAGAGATCAGAGAAGCATCAATATGATTTTATATCAGGCATGGACAGCGTCTGAAAAGACTGAGAGGCAACATTCAAAAACCCGTCTAGAACATCTAGAACTATAGAATCAAACAATAAGGTTTAAATGTGAGTGATTTGTTCCCTGGTTCCACAGCGCAGCTCCCAGGATGTCATAAACATGCAGATCAGACACCACAGCACCTAAAAACGTTGACAGAGCGAAGCCTTCTGCAGGCTGGTTTAAAAAACCCCAATGCTGTTAATGCGACCGCAGGATCAGGACTCCACTTTCATCCTCAGAGCTTACTTATCAAATATCACAGGGAAATAAATCCCCCGCCATCTGTTGGAATCATTATAGCATTTCCATTCAAACAGGGCATGAAAATGACATTTAAATGGAAAATATTAAAATCTGCCTATATTTGTAGAGCCACCTGTACTCTATGTAAATGACCTGGGGAGGCCTGTAGCTGCAGAAGGCCTTAAAACGACAACATTTCAATGTATGGCAAAGATCCAGAAAAGAGTAAACGGCAGAGCCAGGCTGAGCCATTCTGCCTGTTTCAGCTCTACATGCATCCAGACTGATTTCCTTACAGCGTAGCTCCTGTTTTATCTGTCTTCTCAATAACCCGAACAGCGCTGTGCTTCATTAGGATATGCAAAAGAACCGAGAGCATCAGCTGGACGTTCAGAAGGAGAACAGAGAGACTGATGGAGCCATCAGCCTGTAGGGATGTCAGCTGCAGCCTGAGATGCCATCATGGCCGCCTGGAAGCTGCAGTCAGTCCTCCTCCAGGTGTTTGCTTTGAACAGGGCTGATCTTGTTACCTCCTTAGGAGGAGGTTCTGGGATGGAGCAGGGGCCCGAAGTGAGCAGCAGGGGCCCAAAGTGAGCAGCAGGGGCCCAAAGTGAGCAGCAGGGGCCATTGGAGGCCCTGAAGCTGGCGCCACTGATTCCGTTTTTGGTAAAACAAAATGCTCCTCATTTCAGGACCATCAGAACCTTCAGACCGTTCTTCATGTCCTGGAGGTCAACGTTTGGCCCCCCAATGAACAGCAGTAGAACAATTGGAGGACTGTGGCCCCACATCAGGGGCCCCTGAGCAGAGTCCAGTGGAGAGGATCCCTGAGCAGTGATTGATTCCCCCAGCAGTGACCAGAAGCAGTGTGTGGGCGGAGCTACCTACCCTGTGCGTTTGGTGATGGTTCCCAGCGTCATGGGCTGTTTGATCTGAGCCAGAGGCAGAACCACGGTGAGGCTGGGCAGCGGGCTGAGCCGAGGGTTCCCCATGTTGTTGTTGGTGAAGTTGTTGTACGAATCCTGGCTGCTGAGTTTGGCTGAAAGACACAAAGGCAGAAGATGAGCTGCAGAGAGTAGAACTGGAAGCTGCTGGACCATGGAGATCAGTTCAGAGGAAAACACACGGATGCTGAAACTCTGGATCCGCTTCGGATGCGTTTATAGACACTTATATGACCCCCCCCCCCCCCCCCCCCCCCCCGCTCCCTCATCAGGCCAGCTCCATGCTGTAAATAACCAGTCCAAGATGCTGCATTACAGCGCTCTGCCTGGAAGCCTTAATCAGGGCCAATCAACGGCCTCTCTGGCCCTGCAGGGACCCACATACAGGCACACATGGGAGAACGTAGAGATAGATGGTCTAGAGATCCTATCTCTGCTGAAGAGCTGCAGTCCAACCTAATGAGACCAGGCTGCCCTGCTCCATCACTGCTGCTGCTCTTCTTAGCATTCAGTCTGCATTCAAACACGCATGAAGAGGAGAACAGGACTGATCCCGTTTTAATAAACTCCAACATGCATGCAGACGCTTCATAGCTGCCAGAACTGCAGCTCTAAGACACCTTCATCATCCTCAGATTAAAGAAAAATAAATCGGCCGAAAGGACAGAAACCAGAAGGCCTGAAAACAGATCAGTTCTAGAATGAAAGCAGCGTTTCCACAGAGGAAAGCTTGGATGATGTCATAGATGTTGTTAATTATATTATATGAAACATCTAGAAGAAGAAATAATAAAGAAGATGAATCAGTGCAGAAATAAAGCCAACAAACTGCAGAATAACGTCCTGCCTGCTGGTTACCTCTGCTGAACACAGAGAAACGAGCAAACAAAGGCACCTAAACACACACATTCAACCACACACCATCATCCAACTCATTTATCTGTAATCCCGCTGGCAGCCCAAGGAAAATCCCAAGTTCAAGAGCTTTGAGAAGAAATAAAGAGCCAAGCAGCGGGCGCAGCACAAAAGGCCCTCTGAATGTTTTCCTGGTTCCGTTTGTTGCTTTAATAGATGAATGACAGCAGCCAAACATAAAGGACTGAAGGGGTGGGGGGGGGCATGAAGAGGGAGTGCTGAGTGTTTGGATCCAGGCTTTTAGATCATTACCAAGGAGCTCCCCATTTCATTAGTCCCTCCATAGCTCTGCTCTGACCCCCCCCCTCAATGTCCACATTCAGACCTCTGACAGCCAACAATGCTGCATGACCTTCATAGGGGGAGACCCAGCCGTCAGCAGACACCCCGCCCCCCCCCCCCCCCCGCTGCAGTGGCCCGGACCGGGGGGGGATTCCTGAAAGCCCTTCACATCTCACAAGTGCTACACCCCCAGAGCGGAGCAGCCACCTTTTGTGTGGAAGGAAGGGGAGCAGATGAGGAAGGAGGAATAATCTGTGCAGGAAGCAGCCTGAAAGATGCCTGAAAAAAGCCTGCAAGCAGCCTGAAAGAAGCCTGAAAGCAGCTTGAAAGCAGCCTGAAAGAAGCCTGAAAGCAGCTTGAAAGCAGCCTGAAAGAAGCCTGAAAGCAGCTTGAAAGAAGCCTGAAAGCAGCCTGAAAGCAGCTTGAAAGCAGCCTGAAAGAAGCCTGAAAGCAGCTTGAAAGAAGTTTGAAAGAAGCCTGAAAGAAGTCTGAAAGAAGCCTGCAAGCAGCCTGAAAAAAGCCTGAAAGCAGCTTGAAAGCAGCCTGAAAGCAGCCTGAAAGAAGCATGAAAGAAGTCTGAAAGAAGCCTGAAAGAAGCCTGCAAGCAGCCTGAAAGAAGCCTGAAAGCAGCCTGAAAGAAGCCTGAAAGCAGCCTGAAAGAAGCCTGAAAGCAGCCTGAAAGCAGCCTGAAAGCAGCCTGAAAGAAGCCTGAAAGCAGCCTGAAAGAAGCCTGAAAGCAGCCTGAAAGAAGCCTGAAAGAAGCCTGAAAGCAGCCTGAAAGCAGCCTGAAAGAAGCCTGAAAGCAGCCTGAAAGAAGCCTGAAAGCAGCCTGAAAGAAGCCTGAAAGAAGCCTGAAAGCAGCCTGAAAGAAGCCTGAAAGCAGCCTGAAAGAAGCCTGAAAGCAGCCTGAAAGAAGCCTGAAAGCAGCCTGAAAGCAGCCTGAAAGAAGCCTGAAAGCAGCCTGAAAGCAGCCTGAAAGAAGCCTGAAAGCAGCCTGAAAGAAGCCTGAAAGCAGCCTGAAAGAAGCCTGAAAGAAGCCTGAAAGCAGCCTGAAAGAAGCCTGAAAGAAGCCTGAAAGCAGCCTGAAAGCAGCCTGAAAGAAGCCTGAAAGCAGCCTGAAAGCAGCCTGAAAGAAGCCTGAAAGCAGCCTGAAAGCAGCCTGAAAGAAGCCTGAAAGCAGCCTGAAAGAAGCCTGAAAGCAGCCTGAAAGAAGCCTGAAAGAAGCCTGAAAGCAGCCTTCAAAGCAGCCGGAGGGAGAACAGGTGAGATGGGGTGGGACCTCAGTCAGAGGACACTGTGGAGATCTGAGGCTAACCGTAGCAGTGTTTGACCTTTGACACGGTGAATTATAATCCAGAAAAGAATCCAGCATTTTAAGATGGGTCATCTGAAAACCTGAAGATGAACACATCCAGGTGTTCATCCAGGTGTTCATCCAGGGGTTCATCCAGGTTGTCATCCAGGGGTTCATCCAGGAGGTGTTTCACTGTAAGGCAGGGACTGGATGCTGCCTGATTAAACTACCTGATCCCAGCCGCCTGCTCATCGGCAGTGAAGTTACTGATAATCAGCCAGAGCCGCCTAGAGCTAGCTATGCTAACAGCTACATCAGACCGTCAGTCCACAGTGGAAAAAAACTCACTAGATGTTTCAGTCCACTTTTCCCTATTTGACCCAATTAAACTGCTGAATGGAAGAGAGCACCCCCCCCCCTTATAAACGCATGGTAATGGTAGCGTGATGTCACACTGTGATGTCACCAGAGCGTGGGAAGGAGGATCAGAACCAAACTGGCTGGAGAAGCTCCAGTTCTCCCAGTATAGCTGAGAGGTAGCTGCTGATTCAGTCAGCGCAGGGTTAACTGGTGACCATTCCTCCCAGTAAGACTCCTTCCTTCACACTGATGGTGAAACCAGGAATCTTCTAACAGCTTATTTGAAATCATCTCAGCTGATGATCCGACACCACCCCCTCAGACGGGTGGTGTTGATGGTGTAAAGGCTGAATAAAGGTTTTCCCTTCAGAGGGTGTGCCAGCAGTGGGAGGGGGGGGGGATTATTCATTTAGTCACAAACAACAGAAGAAACAGGAAGATTAGGATTTCTAAACGGCTGAATGAAGGTGGGAATGATTTCTGCTGGTGGTCGCTTCCTGTCCCACTGAAAGCCACCTGTGGGGAATATCCCACCTGCTGCAGACGAGGCCCACCTCTGGGACTGACAGCTCCAGGCAGAGGCTGGGATTTGATTAATGAGCAGGGCGTGATGCTTCCAGGCCCTGATTCATGAAATCTCCATGGAAAGAAGATCCATCAATGCAAATCCAGCTCCGCCAGTCGTAGAAGGAACAGCGCTGACCCTGCCAAAAAGAGTGGCTCCAACACCTGATCCTGGCCTTTCTTTCTCAGCTAATCCATCCGTCCATCCAGCTCTCCTCCAGCAATCCCTCCCTGTTTCAACAGCATTTGCATTCTCTCCTGGCATTAAGCCTCTCTCTCTATCCTTTGCGCCCTTTCTGGCTCCTCAGGCTCCCCATGTCACGCTATCTCATGTTTCTATCCCCTCTTTTAATACCCAATTTGCATCCAATACAAGCAGGCTGCCTCCACTGAGGAGGCGACGTGCGAAAGGACAAGCTCTGAAGCCTTCCAAACACTGTGTCTTATTTGAATCGTTCTGCCTGACAGCAGATTTCAGTTCAAGAAAAAAGCCGTCAGAGCGGAGAGGGTAGGCAGGTCTGAGGAGGCGCAGCAGGTGACACAATGATGGACGCTCCGGGGTTCAGGATCCGATCTGCAGCGCAGGCTGGGGGCTGGGGAGACGCAAACGGTCCTTCTGTGAAGGTCTCTAACCGTCTTAAAAACATTCAACTATTCACAGGATTATAAGGAAACCATCTTTCTCTGTCTGTGAGAGAAATGATGAAGATCAGCAGCTAAATCAGTGTCTGCTCTCAGAAACTGCAGCTCAGCTGAGGCTGCAGAAAGAAATGAGGAATGTTTGCAGAGTTTCTTCAGCTGTCAGGCATGCAGAGCATCGTTCCTCATGTCTGACCTTTAACCTCTGAAGGTTTATAGAGCAGGTTAAAGCTGCTGCCTTCCTAACATCCCCAATAAAAAGGCCCGAACACCGACAGCTCCACAGGAAAACCAGCGGAGCATCTGAAGGAGCATCAGGGAGCAGAGGTCAGAGTGGATCCGGATCCAGCCGGTTCCGGCGGCGACCCGAACCCGGCAGATAAAACCCAGCGACTCTTTTGATTGGCTGAGAGCAGGACAGGTGTGTAAGACGTGGGAGCTGCTGCAGGCCGCGGCGCTGTAGCTGACAGGGTTTAGGTCATTCCTTCATTTAGGCAAATCCTGGAGCAGGTGAGCTCTAGGGAAATGTGGTTTTTACATGACCTTTGCATCGGTACCAGGTACCTTCAAGTGTCTTTGATTGTTGATTTTAATGACTTATTATAATGTTCCTGAACCTTAACCCACTTTCTGCCATTTCCAAAGCTTCTATAAACATTTCTATGAATCACTAAAAATTTTCATTTTTCCACCTTATTTTTCTCTTGCTGTTTATAAAATAAAAATGCTAATTTAAAATGATGAAGAGTTTTAGAATGAGCAAAGAATAGTTAAATATAAATAAATCAGATTGATCTTTTTCAGGTGGATCTCAGCAGCTCCACCTGCCTGATCGGCCTCTGAGCCCAAAGAATAATCTGGCTGAAATAATCCCATCAATAGATTATGGAAATAACAGGATTTAGAGAACAGCAACTGAAAAAAAACAATTTACTAAAAGACGAATTTGATCTTGACTCCATCATCAACCTGAAAGACATCTATAAATGTATATATATATATATATATATATATATATATATATATATATATATATATATA